AATTGAAGCAAATGTTACTAGCCCCATTTGACCAATGAACAACAGAGATTTAGATAACTGCCCAAGGTCACCCATTTAGTTAGTGGTCACAGCCAAACTCTAGCATTCAGATGTCATGTAACCTAAAGCATATTTACAAACACATCTGTGGAAAGGGAACCTGTTTGCAGATGATTTCATTGTCCTGAGCACCATCCTGGTAAATAAACGAATTAAGATACAAACGCTTTGGTCGGTGGCCCAGGCTAGTGGCTGTCTGCAAGGTTTCGTTACGGTCTCTGAGGTCCAAGTCTCCTACACAACTTTTGTTTGTTGGCTCACTGGAAGTGAATGATGCTTTTCTTCTTTCCTACCCAGAGAGCCTCTCTTTGGACTCCAGTTTCTTTTCTTCTCCACCTGTGAATTTCCTCCAAGAATTGCCAAGCTACCGGTCCATTGCACGCAGGAGGACCAACATCCCCTCCCGAGACAAGCAAAGTGGCACTTTGCTGAAGCCGACAGACTCTTACAGCTCCCAACTGGAGGAAGGAATCGCTGAAAACCTCAATAGCCAATCCATTCGAAAGTATGCACTGAACATCTCTGAGAAGCGGAGACTAAGGTTCGTTCGGTAGCCGGCTGGAAGGCATCTGATGTAGGTTTTGGGGCAGATGTGCGTTTTGTGCATGGCATGCATTTATTTCCTCAAGAGCTCACATAATCAAAACTATTACTTAGGGTAAGCGAAGCTGCTGTGACAAAGATACCCAAACATGTCAAAGGTCAGCCTTTTAGAAATGTATTTCTTGCTCACATAAAAGTCCTGGGTCAGGTCAATGGAGGACTTTGCAGTCATTTAGGGACCAGGTTCTTTCCATCTTGTGGCTCTGCAGCCCTCCCAAAGCGGAACTATTATCTGCATCTAGCCAATGTAAAGGGAGAGAGTATGGAGTATGTGTGCACCAGTTAGCTGTGCTGTGTAGTAAGTCACCCCACAACTTTGTAGCTTAAAATAACAGTTTCTCAAGTCTACAAGTTGGCGCTGGGCAATTCTTCTAGTTCCATTTGGGCTCACTATGTACCTGTGGCCAGCTGTGGTCAGAGAGGCGGCTCTGCTCATCGAGGCTCAGGCTCCGCTGGCTGTAGGCTGGTCTGGAATGGTCTCATCCTGCAGCAGGTTTGTATGGCAGCAGCTGGTATCCAAGAGAAGAGCAGAACCCTGCAAGTCTTCTGGGAGCCGGTGCTTAGAGCTGGCACAGCATCACTTCTGCTGCACTCTGTGGTCTGCACAGATCACAAGGCCAGCCCAGAATATAATGTGTTTGAGATTCATCCATGTTGTAGCATGCATCAGTACTTCCTTCTTTTTTATGGCTAAATGATATTCCATTGTGTAGATATATAGCTCATTTTGTTTATATATTCATCTGTTGATAGACATTTGGTTTGTTTCCGCCTTTTGACTATTGTGAATAGTGCTGCTATGAACATTCGGGTACAAGTTTTGGTTTGAGACCCTGCTTTCCGTCCTTTTGGGATATCTACCTAGGAGTAGAATTACTGGGTCAAATGTTAATTCTAGGTTTAACTTTTCAAGGAATGGCCACTCTGCTCTCCCTAGTGGCCACACCATTTTACATTCCCACCAGCAATGTCTGAGGGCTCCAGGGTTTCCACATCCTCTCTGCTGGGGTTTTTATATGATGCTAAGGCTTGTCAGTGGTGTCATAGTCATTGTCACGCTTGTTTTTTAACGCAGGGACATTCAGGAGACCCAAATGAAGTATTTATCTGAGTGGGACCAGTGGAAACGGTATAGCAGCAAGTCTTGGAAGAGGTTCCTAGAGAAAGCTCGTGAGATGACGACCCACCTGGAGCTGTGGCGGGACGACATTCGCAGCATAGGAGGTACCACACCCCACTCTCTGCACCGGCTCCTCCACAATAGTGCCTGGGGGGGAATTCAGCTTCGTTTTCATGGACTTTTAGCTGAAATCTGGCATTTCCTTCCATGATGAATGTGAGCAACACCACCGTTAGGATTAGCAGAACCTGTGTCTTTGTCATCAGGAAAATCACAGATAGTTTCCTATTCCTTCCAGTTGTAGTTATCTTGAGAAACCATTTATGCTCATCCCTACTGTGAAATTATAGCAGTTTTCAGATCTACCACTAGATCTTATTATTTAATGTGCCAATGGAGATGCCCATGTGTTATTCCATCACAAATTTGGTTTTGTTTGTATTTTGTGCATTTAAAACATTATTCTGAGATGAAGTTCATTAGGCTTCTCCATACAGCCACAGATATCCATGACCCTGAGGATACTTATAATCCCTTCTTTCCCATAATAGTAACAGTGGGGTGCAGGATTGCATTAGGCAGCTCGGGCTGTCATGACAAAGTAACATAGATTAGGGAGCTTGGACTACAGACATTCATTTTTTTTTATAGTTCTGAGACTGCAAGTTCAAGATCAGGTCACCTCCTCATATGACCTCTTTTTGTGCACACTCCAGGAGAGAGGGTTAAGGAGCGGGAGAAAGAGAAGACTCGAACTGGCGCCTCTTCTTATATGGGCACTAATCCCATCATGAGGGCCTCACCCTCATGACCTCATCGAGTAAAGTTGCTACATACATGATCTCTATATAAAACCAATTGTATTTCTATATACCAGCAACAAACACTTGGAAAATGAATATTTAAAAATGATCCAATTTACAGTAGCATAAAAAAATCATTGAATACCTAGGAATATAGATATATGTAAAGAAAGATGTGAATTATTCTGCACATAAAAATGTACAACATTAAAATTAAAGAACCTAAATATCTCATGTTCATGGATCAGAGATTCAATATTATAAACAAGTCACTTGTCTTCAAATTGACCCATGCATATTCCATGTAATCCTAATCAGAATCTCAGCAGATTTTGTGTATATGTGTGTATATGTATTCATGTGAAAATTAACACACTGATTCTAAAATTTATATAGGAATACAAAGGATCAAGCAGACCTGAGGAAGAATAAAGCTGAGACTTACAGCACTATGTCAAGTATCATTATACTTATCTAAAATAATTAACCTGGTATTGGTGCAAGGATAGAGAAATAGACCAATAGAATACAATAGAGAATTCAGAAATGGCTTCATACATTACGGACAATTACTGAAGCACTACTGCAATTCATTGGGGGAAAGTTTAGTCTTTCAATAAATGGTGCAGAAATGAACTAGATTTTTATGTGAGAAAAGATAACTATTGAGTCCTCCCGTACAGCCCTGACTGGTTTGGCTCAGTGGATAGAGCGTCAGCCTGCGGACTGAAAGGTCCCAGGTTCGATTCTGGTCAAGGGCATGTACCTTGGTTGCGGGCACATCCCCAGTAGGGGGTGTGCAGGAGGCAGCTGATCGATGTTTCTCTCTCATTGATACTTCTCTCTATCCCTCTCCCTTCCTCTCTGTAAGAAATCAATAAAATATATTAAAAAAAAAAAAAGATTGTACATTTACAAGTCAAAGTTTAAACCATTAGAAGTAGAACCTTAACTCCAACAGTAGAAAAAATAAAATGTTTCTTTCTCCATCCCCTCCCCCAGGATTCCTCCATCTTCAGCCCAGCGTGGCTGATCAAATCTACAGTGGGCAGTGGGTCAGTACTCCTGCTCAATGATTTCTTTTTTTCCAGGGAAATTTGGCACTGGGATTCAGTCCTATTTCTCCTTCTTGCGATTTCTGGTGTTGCTGAATTTGGTGATATTTCTGATCATCTTTATGTTGGTTTTGCTCCCAATATTGCTCACCGAATACAAGATCACCAACAGCAGCTTCGTGCTCATCCCAGCCAAAGACACGGGTGAGTCCACGGCCTGGTTTTCCCTAGAGTGTTGTCTGGTTACAATGCCTGCTTCTTTAGAAATCTTTATATTCTTAATCTCGGTTACCGTAGTCAAGTGGGCCAGGTTATGCCACAGAAACAAATGACCCTGTGACTCTCCGCACCTGATATCCACAAAGGTTTCTTTCTTGCTCACAGTACATGTCCACCACTGTTTGGTGGTGGCTTTTTTCCGTGTTGTCTTCATGCTGGAGCCATGACAGATGTGCTGACTCCTAAAGCACATAAAGTCTGCCTGACGATGACACATGTCATTTCTGCCACATCTCATTAGCCAAAGCAAGTCGCTCAGCCACTCCTGAGTTCATCAAGGCACGTGGGAGGAGAACCGCAGGGTCGGAAAGTGGAATATTTAGCAAACAATTAAGGCTTTCGTCTCTGACAATGGCGATGCTCGGGGCTACCATTTATTAAACGCCAATCATGTGCCACTGGCAAGTGCTGGACCTGTGTGGGGTGTTTTTTTGAATTCTTAACGTAGGTCAGATCTCTGGGCACTTTGTTTATTGAAATGGGGCGAGTTTCAGTCATTCTGCAGACATCTGATTAGGTTCTGTGACCAGGTTTTGTGCTGGGGCTGGAATTGGAGCCTCATGCTTCTCAGATCATAGAACTCCTTTCCCTAGAAGAACCCTCCTCTAGAATCACTTCTGTGGCCCTCAACTTTCCTCCTCCTCATGTTTGTTTCTGTCTCAATTCCATTACACTTCAAAATAAAAGGAGGATAATGTGGAAACCCAGACTTAGTTCAGGGCTGTGGCACCCATATTGAGTGCCTGCTGTATGCCGACACTATACTCTCATTTTCACAGAAGTCCATTTTACAGATAAATATGACTGCTGCTTTGTGAGAACCCTGGGCTCCATTTCAAGGCCTTGCTCTGCTAGCTGATTAGACTTCTGAGCCTCAGTTTCCTTATCCATACAAATGCTGGTGATAATTTAAATAATGAGGTGATTACTTTCATTATTCAAATAACACCTCACTATTTAATACTTTGCTCATTAAAAATAATAAATACTTATTTAAATTAGAAATAATTGAAAGCAATAATATAAATTCTATATTACTTAAAAGAAAATAAAAATGCTTAAATAATTAAGCAATACTCGTAATTTAAAAGTGAGTATTAAATAAGATAGTACAATGCTCAGCACCTTCCTTCCCTTCTTCATTCCCTTCAACAAGTGTTTACTGAGCACCTACTGTGTGCTGGGCCCTGAGCCTGGCACTGAGGCTACAACAGGGAACATCACACCTGCATCCACAGGGTTCATACATTCCAGCAGAAGGTGGGCTTTAAGGAGTACCACACGAAGTATAGAAGGTGTGAATTGGGCCATGGGAGAGGAAAGGGATAAAGTCCTGAGAAGTTGGACACCAGGACACTGGAGGCTGAGGGGCCCCAGAGCCCTCTGTGAAGGCAGGGACGTTTAAGCCGAGTCCAGGAGGGTGAGGAGAGGGCAGCTGTGGAGGAGCTCAGGGAAGCACCTTCATGCAGAGGAGCAGCATCTGCGAAGGTCCAGTAACTTGGCGTATTAGAGAAATGAGACGCCTGGCATGGCTTTTCCCATAAAAGGCCAGGTAGTCAATATTCTGGGCTTTGCAGGTCATACAGTCTCAGTTGCCACTATTCAACACTGCCACTGTGGCACCAATGTGGCCACAGACAGATCCATGAATGGGCGTGGCTGTGGTCCCATAACTCCGTATTAACAAAAAGAAGGCAGCTGGCCAGGTGTGGCCCATGGGCCATCGTTTGCTGACCTCTAGGCTGGAGGACAGTGAGTGAGGAGCAGAATGGCAGGCATCTCATTCCATCTTCCTGACTCCCCTCCAAATAGAATGACTGTCTCCTTCGTCTGCATATAATACCGTATTCATGCAACCACTTGAGTACCTTCTGTAAACGTAACTGCTGCTTGTCTTTCTTTCTCCTTAATGGGGAGCTTTTCAAGGGCAGGAACTGCTGCTTACTCATCATTTTATCTCCAACATCCAAGTGATTAAGAAATGTTTGTTGAATGAATAAATGAACATATGCATGTTAGAATTATAAGATGACAGCGCTGAATTTGACTTTGAAGAGACTGCTTCAACTCTCTTATTTTAACACAGGGGAAACTAAGACCCAGAAAAGGGGTGATAAATTGGTTTATTTCCCCCAATTTGTCACTCCCCTGTAATTGTGACTTTGCAGGACCTCTCACTGTGGACAGAGAATACTTTGTGTTCCATTGATATTATACTTGGCCATGTGGCTTGTTTTGTCTATTGGAATGATAGCTTGAAATGGCTTTGTGTGGCTTGCCTTATGAGACAGACCATGAGGAGAGCCATTTACTCTTCATCCTGGGCCCCAGAATGGAGTCATGGGGAGCAGTCCTGAGCCCAAGTGGAAGCCTAGAGTCCATCCTGGCTTAGCCTAAATCAGCTGAATTAACCCCAACTGCAGATCCATGAATGAGAAAATAAATGGTTGGTATGTGAAGTCACTGAAACTTTGAGATTATTTGTTACACAATAATAGCTGACTGATACAGAGGAATGAATTAATTCAAGGATAAGGTAGTGTCATTAAAATTATTATTCAAATATTTCTTGGTTAATTAAACATATGTAAATATATATATTTTTCAAATAAAACTGCATGTTTATTCCCATATACACAGAGATCTGTTAGAATTGGATGTGGTTAAAATGGAATAACTATTTTATCATTCACAAATTCTAAAACATGTATAAATATGAACCCCAAAACACAAAATACCAATACAAGCAGAAAACATTATTATAAGTGGACCTACATGCAAAATGTACAGAAAAAAACATACATCCCAAAATGTTTAGAAAAATGAAAGGGGATATGCTGTTGTACCTGGTGCATTGGGGTTTGGTTTGCAAATAGAAAGTCACACACACATCCCTACACAAATATACCAATATATAATGACATCTAAATGTGTATATATATCCGCATGTGCATATCTCTACAAAGGGTGATAGACAAGTTATAGAGACTGTAAAGCTATTTCCACTGACCTTGTTTTGTTTTGTTTTTACAGATATTCAATGCACAGTATATCCAATAAGTAGTTCTGGACTCATCTATTTTTACAGTTATATCATAGACTTGCTCTCCGGCACTGTAAGTATTTAACATAATTCTGTATTTCAGCCCTTAAGATCCTGAAAATAGGTTAATTTAAACATCAGTTTCCTGAATGTCGTCAGTGTTGGCACAAGTACCAATAAAAGGAACAGGATTTGCAGTGATCTCATCTACAAGGATGATGTTCACCCACCCCCTCCTAGAATATGCAGGAACTATGCTTTGTCACTGTCAGCCATTGTCCTTTTCCTAGCCTCTGCCACCTTCAGATTGAACGGCAACAAAATGCTGAGTTCCTCCACAGAATAGTCAGTGAAAATAAACCCGGGCAGAATTACTTAATTTCTCTGACATTGAAAACCTATAAGATTTGGGTGTTCTAGATCACCTGGATGAAAGCTGTGGCTCTTCTCTGCAGACATTACGCACACAGACGTGCGTGTTGCACAAGTGCACACACATGCCCAGACGTGTGTGCCTACATACACATTTCCTGAAATCCCTTAAAAGTCTACTAATCCCAGGTTAACACACCCTTCTCTAAAGCGGAATTAATCTCATCCTTCTTATAGTAGTTTCAAAAGGGCTTTTTAACATTCCTCTAAAATATGGTATTTTGTGAGCTTTCATTTTTTGTGTGTGGGTGTGAGCTATGTAAAGTGGCCATCTGCCCTCTAGATCAGGGTTTCTCAACTCAGCACTGTTGACATCTCAGGCCCGATAATTCTTTGCCTCTGGGGCCTGTCCTGTGCACTCTAGGGTGTTAGCAGCATCCCTGGTCCCCACCCACTGGATGCCAGTAGCAGTTCCACAAGTTGTGACAACCAAAAATGTCTCCAGACACTGCTAAATATTTCCTGGGGGACAAATTGCCCCTCATTAAGAACCACTTTGTTCGATATTTATGAAAATACATTTCTGGAAGGTATTGGTATTAAAATACTGCATTGAACTTCCACTTTTTGGAATAGATAAATAGAAAGTATTGAATTTGTCCATTGTGTTTAATTCTGAAAAAGTGCTTTTTACGTCTCTGATGTATTTCTCAAAATAGCTGAGAGGAATTATCAGGTGGGTGTTGAAATGTCCGCTGTGCAAGGAGAAAAGAAGTTCAGTGATTCACCCAAGTTCACCCAGCTAGTGAAAGCAAAGTAGGATCAAATCCCAGAACTGCTGTTAACCCCATTTCTTTAGATTACATCCCAAAAGAGAAATCTGTAGATTTCCACACATCATAATCTTCTTCCTTATAGGAAATTGGTTTTTAAATCCTTGCTTGAAGATATGATTTTATTGGTTTTGAGAGGAGAGAGAGAGAGAGAGAGAATGTGAGTAAGAACTATCAATTGCTTGTCTCCTGTATGCACCCTGACCTGGATTTAAACCTGCAACCCCTTTTTTGGTGTACGGATGTCGCTCCAACCAACTGAGCCACTTGGCCAGGGCCTTTTAGGAAATATTCTATAGGAAACTTAGATGCACCTGATTACCAGTGTTCAATAAAGTATGCATAGCAAAGAACAGGCATGTCCAAAAGCATATTCTACAGTGATAAGAATGTTCTGGAACTGTGCTGTAAACTCTGATAGCCAGTAACTCTTGAGCACTTGAGATGTGGCTAGTGTGACCAAGAGACTGAATTTTAATTTTATTAAAAATTTAAGTTTAGCCGAAACCGGTTTGGCTCAGTGGATAGAGCGTCGGCCTGCGGACTGAAAGGTCCCAGGTTCGATTCCGGTCAAGGGCATGTACCTGGGTTGCGGGCACATCCCCAGTGGGAGATGTGCAGGAGGCAGCTGATCGATGTTTCTCTCTCATCGATGTTTCTAACTCTCTATCTCTCTCCCTTCCTCTCTGTAAAAAATCAATAAAATATATATTTAAAAAAAAAAATTTAAGTTTAAATTGCCCCTAGAGCTAGAGAGATCCAAGAGTGGTTTGTCTTTGTTGAAAACAGTTAAGCCAAGCTCATTATAAAATCAGACAAATTATTTTCCTGGCCCAGGAACCTTTACCCCGTAATGTTACATAGTTTGGGGGGAGGATTAATGATAACCCTGATATCAACCCCAGGGAAATATAAACAGGTTTCATGCCGTTGGGCAAGTTTTTCCGGCCTGTGTGCCCTGCCTTAGGAGAGTTATTAAGAAGATGGAGGAGAAACTAAGATGGCGGCATAGGTAAACACCGGGAAATTTTTGCCTCCCACAACAATTGAAAATTACCGCAAAGGACAGAGCAGACATCATCTAGAACAACAGGAAGGTTGGCTGAGTGTAAATTCTACAACTAGAAGGAAAGAAAAGCACGCTGAGAGCCAGAGGCGCTGCGGAGGTGAAGTGCAGAGGTATGGCGGCTCGCGCGCGCGCGGAACGGGGTGGCGCCTGAGGACGCGGCTGTCTTTTTGAATCACAAGCTCCCGACTGCTCTGAACTCCGGTTCCGGGAAGTCTCTGGGGACCCAGGACTCATACGGGGAGAAGCTGGTCTGTCCGGCAGCGGGTGAACTTGAAGGCGGCTTTCCCTCAGAGGTGCTTGCAGCAATTAGCAGGTCACTGAGACCCGCAACTCCGGGCGGAGAATCAGCCATAGCTCCTTGATCCGCCCTTTGATTCCCTGAGACCCCGCCCCACCCAGGCTGCGGCAGAGGCTTTTGCATGTGAATGTACCTAACTGCAGCCGAGTCAGGCAGACCCGGAACTTCCAAGAGAAGGCCCAAGGCCCCGCAGCGGCTTGCATTGCTTCACAGCTGAGCCTCTTCGTGGCTCCTGCTGTGTGGCCTCAGGCAGAGGCTGAATTAGCACCTCCTTAGATCCAGGAGCCACTGTACCCAGTGGTCAGAGGGGGACCATCCAGATTGCAACTCCTCAGATCCATAAGGGACACACTCAGGGAGCAGACTCAGTGAGCACCAAAGCCCCACTGAAGCAAGTCTTGCCCCAGAAGGGTGTCTTCAACACAGAAGTTCTCCCACTTTAGACACAGCTGATTCTCACAGCCAATTGGCCTGGAGTTCAATTCCTCCCAGTGATCCTACAACAACCAAGGCACCAAGAGTGCACCAAGAGTGTCCACCCCAGGTAACTGGGGAGGCTGAGCCACTGGGCCCTACAGGACACCTGGCGCGCAGGGCCACTCTATCAACACAGGGAAGCAGCCAAAATGCGGAGACAAAGAAACAGGTCACAAATGGCAGAAATGGAGGAAAGCAAACGACTGGATATAGAGTTCAAGGCCACGTTTATAAGGTTTTTCAAGAATTTTATGGAAACCGCCGATAAATTTAATGAATCCCTCAATAAGTATAGTGAGACCATGGAGGACATGAAAAAGGACCAACTAGAAATTAAGCATACACTGACTGAAATAAAGAATAATTTACAGAGATCCAACAGCAGACAAGAGGATCCCAAGAATCAAGTCAAAGATTTGAAATACAAAGAAACAAAAAATACCCAACCGAAAAAGAAAAAAGAAAAGAGATTCCAAAAATATGAAGATAGTGTAAGGAACCTCTGGGACAACTTCAAGCGTACCAACATCAGAATTATAGGGGTACCAGAAGGAGAGAGAGGGCAAGATATTGAAAACCTTTTTGAAGAAATAATGACAGAAAACTTCCCCTACCTGGTGAAAGAAATGGACTTACAAGTCCAGGAAGCGCAGAGAACCCCAAACAAAAGGAATCCAAAGAGGACCACACCAAGACACATCATAATTAAAATGCCAAGAGCAAAAGATAAAGAGAGAATCTTAAAAGCAGCAAGAGAAAGACAGTCAGTTACCTACAAGGGAGTACCCATACGACTGTCAGCTGATTTCTCAACAGAAACCATGCAGGCCAGAAGAGAGTGGCAAGAAATATTCAAAGTGATGAATAGCAAGAACCTGCAACCAAGATTACTTTATCCAGCAAAGCTATCATTCAGAATAGAAGGTCAGATAAAGAGCTTCACGGATAAGAAAAAGCTAAAGGAGTTCATCACCACCAAACCAGCATTATATGAAATGCTGAAAGGTATTCTTTAAGAAGAGGAAGAAGAAAAAGGAACTCTTACCATTTGCCACAGCATGGATGGAACTGGAGAGCGGATAAAATACCACAGGATCTCACTCATTTGTGGAATATAATGAACAACATAAACTGATGAACAAGGACTGATCCAGAGACAGAGAGGCATTGATTGGACTGTCGGGCCTTGGAGGGAAGGTAGGGGAGGGTGGGGGTAACGGGGAAAGATCAACCAAAGGACTTATATGCAAGCATATAGGCCTAATCAATGGACATGGACAATGGGGGGGTGAGGGCATGAGCGGGGGGGTGGGGGGGTAGAGGGTAACGTGGGGACAAGGACACATATGTAATATCTTAATCAATAAAAAATATATTTTAAAAAAAAGAAGATGGAGTCTTCTGTTTCTACATTTTTTTTTTCTGTTAAAAATTTTACTTACTATAAGAATACATGGTTGTCATAAAGAACAGACTTTATAGAGTAAAGCGTGACAGGACCCCTCCTGTAGGTCACCAAACCTTGAACACCGTAGTTCATAGCCTTCTTGCCTTTTCTCGGGCACTAACAAGGTCTTGCTTACTATTCAGAGTATGGATTTTCCACAGTCTAGCCAGGCCCCTGCCACTGGACATCCAGGTTGCCTCCTTTTTCCTTCTTTATAAACAGTGCCGTGGTGAACACCTCTGTGTTACCTGTACTGCTGCTTTTGTGTATGTCCTCTTCTCACTCCCCTGGAATCTCCTTGCCACCCAACGAGGAAGTTGAGCTGGTCAGTTATTCTTTCCATAAGAAGTCAGGGACTGTTCTGTGCTATAGTTTCAGAGGTCACTTTATTATTACTGTTTTTTTGTTCATATCTTTATTGAGGTGTAATTTACCTATCATACAGTTCACCCATTGAAAGTGTTCAATTCAGTGGTTGTTAGTGTATTCACTGAGTTAGGCAGTCATTGCTACAATAAATTTTAGAATATTTCATCACCTAAAAAAGAAGTTTCATACCCTTTGGCTATCACTTCCCACTCCCTGTTATTAGACCTAAGCCATCGTTAATCTATTTTATTAATGATTTATGTCTCTATGAAATACTTATTTTGGACATTTCATATGAATGGAATCATATGTGGTCTTTTGTCTCTGGTTTCTTTCACATGACATGTTTTTAAGGTTCATCTATGTTGTAGCAGCTATCAGTTTTTCATCCCTTGTTATGGCCAAATAAGATTCCATTGTATGGAAATATCATATTTTGTTTATTCATTCATGATGGACATTTGGGTTGTTTCCACCTTTTGGCTATTATGAATAATGCTGCGATGAACATTCATGTGTGAGTTTTTGTGTGGAGATATGTTTTCACTTCTTTGGGAGAATATACTTAAGAGTGGAATCACTGGGTCAAATGGTAACCCTATCTTTAACTTTTTGAGGAAATGCCAGACTTTTCCAAAGTGGCTGCACCATTTTATATTCTCACCAGCACTTTATGAGTGTTCTGATGTCCAACCCTTGTCAACACTTGCTATTACCTGACTTTTTATATAGCCACCCTGGTTTGTGTGAAGTGTAATGACTTTGTGTTTATTTATTTTTTTATTAAACTTTCAGAGAGAGAAAGGAAGGGAGAGAGAGAAACATCAATTTGTTGTTCCACTTATTTATATTTTTGTTGGTTGATTCTTATATGTACCTTGACCTGGGACCAAAACCGAACCTTTTGGTGAATGGGATGATGCTCCAACCAATTGAGCCACCTAGGCAGGACCTCTCTCCATGTTTTATTGGATTACATATGTTTTTATTGTTGAGTTATAAGAGTTCTTTATATATTCTAGATACAAGTACCTTATCAGATATGTAGTTTACAAGTATTTTTTCCTATTCTCTGAATTGTCTTTTCACTTTCTTGATAGTGTCCTTTGAAACACAAAAGTTTAAATTCTGATAAAAGTCCAATTTATTTTTTTCATTATTGCTCTTCTTTCTTTTGGTGTCATAGCTAAGAATCCATTGCCAAATCCAAGGTCATGAAGATTTAGCCCTCTATTTTTTTAAATATTTTTTATTGATTTAAGAGAGGAAGGGAGAGGGAGAGAGAGATAGAAACATCCATGATGAGAGAATCATTGATCGGCTGCCTCCTGCACACACTCTACTTGGGACTGAGCCCGCAACCCGGGCATGTGTCCTGACCAGGAATTGAACCATGACTTCCTGGTTTCATAGTTCAACGCTCAACCGTGGAGCCACACTGGCTGGGCTAGCCCTCTATTTTTTTCTTGTAAGAGTTTTATAGTTTTGACTCTTCCATTTAGGTCTTTTATCCATTTTAAGTTAGCTTTTTTATATGATTTATATATATTTCCTTGCATGTGTTTATTCAGTTGTCTCAGCATCATTTCTTGACAAGACTGTTCTTTTCCCATATCAAAAACCAATGTACCATAAATGTATAAGCTTAATTTTGAATTCAATTCTTTTTCATTGATTTATATTCTATTCTTATGTTACTACCTCACTGTCTTGATTACTGTTGTTTTTGCAACAAATTTTGAAATTGGAATGTGTGAGTCCTCCAACTTTGTTCTTTTTTTTTTCTTCAATATTGTTTTGGCTATTCTGGATCCCTTTCAATTCTATATGAACTTTAGGATTAGTTTGTAATTTTCTACAAAGAAGCCATCTGGGATTCTGATAGGGATGTGTTGAATTTATAGATCAATTGGGGCGTATTACCATGGATTTCCTGATCCATAAACATGGGATGTTTTTCCATTAATTTAGATCTTCTTTAATTTTTAAACAATGTTTTATAGCTTTAAGAATATACATTTCCAGTGTTAAATCTATTCTTAAGTTTTTTGTTTTTTTGCTATTACTGCACATGGAATTGTTGTTGTTTTTTTTAATTTCATATTTGGATCCCAGACCTGTGTATTTTTAATGCTCAGGTTTTATCCATGCTCTATTCCCCAAACATTAAGCAGCCCTGATATCCCTGGGATGGTTTCAGAATCTGGGAATTCAGGGATGAGAAATGACACTGGAATGTGAGTTCTTGAGATAGAGACTGGTTTCTTGCAGTGAACTTACTAGCCTGACCTCATGCATGTGTCTTTGTTTTAGGGTTTCTTGGAAGAGACCTGCCTCTTTTATGGACATTACACCATTGACGGGGTGAAATTTCAGAATTTCACCTATGATTTGCCTCTGGCTTATTTGTTAAGCACAATTGCCTACCTGGCCCTGAGCCTTCTTTGGATAGTGAAAAGGTAAAGTTTACCTTATCATTGTGTTCTCTTTGAATGATTCTGATGGCTGGAGTTTATTGGAGGCCACGGACTCTGAGAGGCATTGCCCAGAGGATGAGCAGAGTCCAGGGGTGGGCTTTGCGGGGGAAAGATTTATATGTTCTGGAGACTGGGGATGTGAAGGCAGTGGAGGAGGATTTGAGAGCTGGAGGAGCAGCCTGCAGATCGTCACTCAGTCATTATTGCACACATGTGCCAGTGCCATGTCCCCAACCTTATCTTCAATCTGGTGTGTATATTAACCACGTCTCTCACAGATTTCAAATGGCAGAAACCCACGTCTGACTAACTGGGGCAAAGGACAGCTGAGTGGCCCAGAGAACCAAGGAAGGGAGGAAAGTAATTACAGGAGGGACAAGGATACAGGTGTGACTTCGAACTATTCCAAAGCAAGAGCGCCTTTATCTCTGATTCTCCTGGTGGCAGTTCCCTTATGTGGCCTCTCTGGGTCACGGGTTCAGAAATCCTTTAAAGAGATTTGTTGGCTCTGCTTCATTCAGGTACCCAACCCTGACCCTTCAGCCGTGGCCAGTGGATTAGGATCACAGGAGAACCTGGCATTTCCCCAGTAGGCACATGGTTTAGTATCAATTTACAGGAAAAGAAAAGTGAGGAATATTAATTACTCTATTAATGAATAACTTCCCCCAAAAGTACAATGGCCCAAACACAATAGACGTTGTATACCTTTCTTACATAAAGTTCTGAGTGGGACACAGGTTAGTGTGGTAGACATCTTCTTAGTCACTGTGGGACTCAAGTGGGCCAAAGTTCAGCCATTGTCAGCATTGACGTTACCGTTGAGAGCTGGAAGGGAGAACAACCATGGAGGAGTATCCCGTGGGAGGTGTTTATGGGCTAGGCCTGAAGTGATACCCATCACTCACTTTCCATTGACTATAGCTGCAAGGGAGGCTAGGAAATGTTATCCCTGGCTGGCAGCCACTTCCCAGCACTGACACTATACTGTGGAAGGGAAACCACAAATTTCTGATGGACAGCTTTCTGTCTCTGCCCCAAGGGGTTGCTTGGCAGACAGGATCATGATGGGCACCTCTCTTACCCACTTCATTGTCCATGTGAGAGTGTGAACAGTGCTACAAGCCAGGGGGTTGTGAAGCTCCTTATCACAGGCGTAGAAGAGACCAAGATGCTGGGACCGAGTTTCCCTCCATGGAGCCTCAGGTTCACCACCACACCAGCCCCAGAGCCCAGCTGGGCACTCATAACCTGAGGCAGAAGCTATGAGATGAAAATTGCCTGGTGTGTGTCCATTCCCTAACCCAAATGGGCAGTGTATGGACAAGAAGGAGCAGTGGCTCATTTGGAGGGACAGAGAGATTCTTATAAAGAAATGTTGGTTGACTCTGGTTCTGGCTTTGCTGCTTGGCAATGGTGGCAGGGCAGATCAAGTTTTACAGACCTACAGTTTAGACGATTTGGAGGAGTCCTCTTTAAGACAAAGGATATGAAAATATCTTTTTTGAAGTATCTATATATATATAAAAGGTTAATATGCAAAGTATCCCCTCGGGAGTTTGACTAGGAGACCGGAAGTTCGATTGCTTGCTATGACGTGCACTGACCATCAGGGAGTGGCATGGAACGAAGGAAGGCCCCGGCTGGCAGCCGGAAGGCCCCGATCAGCTCTGATCATCAGCCAGGCCTAGGGACCCTACCCGTGCATGAATTTTGTGCACCGGGCCTCTAGTAAAATAAAAAAAGAAACAGGACCAGATGAACACATTGCTAGAGGTGCTTCCAGGGCCTTGGAAGGGGCCCTGAAAAAGAAGTAAGTTTATTAGCCAAATAGTGACTCCATCTCCAGATTTTGCTCAAGCTCCTCATGTCTGGGTCTTGATTGCTCCCTGGGGCAGCCTGGAGGGAGGGCTGGGTGTGCTGTAATGGGGAGAGGCCCACCCCTGGAGGAAGAAGTGGTAGGGTGGCAAAGAGTGTGGACTTTGGGGTTCAGAGACTGAGGTTCGAAGGTCACTTCACCTCTTTAAACTCATTTTCTTCCTCTGTGAAACGTAGACACCTGGTTGTTGGGAGGATTCGCAGAAACAAGGCATGTAAAGATCCTAATTTAATAAATGTGGGCCTGACACATTTATTAAATTAAAATCATCATCAAATTGGCCCCATTTCTGCCACTAACTGATTCTAGGGCAGCAGTTCTCAACCTGTGGGTCGCGACCCCTTTGGCGGTCGAACGACCCTTTCACAGGGGTCGCCTAAGACCATCCTGCATATCAGGTATTTACATTACGATTCATAACAGTAGCAACATTACAGTTATGAAGTAGCCACGAAAATAATTTTATGGTTGGGTCACAACATGAGGAACTGTATTTAAAAGGCCAGAAGGTTGAGAACCACTGTTCTAGGGAAATAGTTTTCTCTCCTCCAGACCTTGGCTTTCTCATCTGTCAAATGTAGGTTTGGGTTAAATCAGATTTTCACCTGCGGTGGTACCTCAGCATCACCATGGAGTTTTATAAAACAACACATTTCTGAACCCTCCCACCCTGAGAGCTCCTGATGGAAAATACCAGGGTGTGACCCCACCTGGGAGTCTGCATTTTGGAAAAACACCCGGATGGTTCTGATTAACATCCTTTGCTATGAACTTAGGCAGAATGACTGAGCTTTATAATTCATTTCACTTTTTATTGTCTTCACAACTCACTGGCAAATCCTAAAAACACCCCGTTTCATCTACAGTGTGTGACATTTCATACATCTGTGTCATCAAGTGTTTTTTCCCCCCATGAAAGCATTTGAATGAATAACAGTTACGAAGCATGCAAGAATTGCACCTGATTGGAACAGGTGCTGACTAAATATTGGATTCATTTACTATTTAAAATAATCTATTCATTCATTTATCCATCAGTTGGATAGTGGCCACATTAAGGTCCAGGCATTTTGGATATCAAGGTGGCGAGGCAGCCAGGGTATCTGCCCTCAAGGAATTTAAAATTTAATCAGGGTCAGGGACTAGAAGCAGTAAACAGATAAGTAAGATAATTGCAGAGTAGGTTCATTGCTGTGAAGGAAATGAAAGAGACTAATTTAAAGTGGGAGTCACAACTTTAGATGGTGTGGTGGGGAATCCAGGGAGGGGTTATTTGAGCTGAATCCTAAAAGATGGGAAGGAGGCAGCCATAGGGAGTGACAGGGGGAAAACTGTCCCAGAAGAGGGTAGCAGGGACTGCAAGTGCAAAGGCCCTGGGGCAGGAGCAGAGGTGTGTGTTTATGAAAAGGAAAAAAGCCGGTGTGGTATCAACAGAGTGGCCATATGGGAAGAAAGATGGTATCGTGCAGGATCATATAGGCTGTGTTAGAATTTGGATTTTATTCCAACTGTGAGAAGAGCTGTCATGTGGATGACAGGAAGTTATTTTCATCCAGCAGATGCCTGGTTCGCTGCCACATATATTTAGGATGGTCCAGAACGTGACTGTGTCAAAATGGGTGGGAAATGCCTCCACGTGTAACTGCTTTAGTCTAGACAAAGTCAATCCATGGGCTTGTATCTTGTTGTTCTCATAAGAAGCATAATCGTGTTTTGGGGTCAGGTCGGTGGAAGGGTTCAAAGTCAACCTGATCCGGAGTGAGGAGCACTTCCAGAGTTACTGCAACAAGATCTTTGCTGGCTGGGACTTCTGCATCACCAACCAAAGCATGGCGGACCTCAAGCACAGCAGCCTGCGGTACGAGCTCCGAGTGAGTGCTGCTGGGCTTTCTCTCGGTGGCTGCTTTGTCAGCAAGGTGGTGCCTTGGGAGGCGGTTTGCGGCTTGCAGAGGAGCTAGGTGGGGCCCAGGCTTCTCCAGTACTTAGCAAGCACTTTGTAATTTTCAAGAGCTTTTAGCAGAGAACAGCTTCCTGGGGTTGATCTCCTTCTACCCTTGTCCCTCCTCGAATTGAGCTTGTAAACTAGGGCTGGGAAGGGAAGTGGGGACTGGACAGTGAGTGGAAGGAAGTGGTACCTTTCCTCCTCCCCTTGCCACCCTGTTATCTCGTGAGAACCCGTCATAAACATCACTTATACCAGGAAAAATAGGACAAAAGACGGAATGCTACGATGATAAGGTAGAGTGGAGTGAATATGAAAAAGTAGGAGAATTTCTCAATAAGGAGAGAAGGAGTAATAAATAGCATTGTGATCAAATCTACCTCCCTCCTCAAACAGAGAAGGAAACAATTGTATCAAAGTTTAATAAAGTAAGATGAAAGAAATAAAATCACATGTGTTATTTGTTATACTAAATATAAACAGACTGAATTTTATTAAAAGCAGAGACCAGGTTGAGTTAAAAAAAAAAAAAACCCAACAAACAAACATGCCCACCTTACATATTGTTTCAAGAAATAATGCGTATAACATATAAGTAATATCATGAATAGGTTAATAGTTCTGTTTTCCCAGTTATTGCAGTCTTAATTGCTATCTTAAATAGAAGGTTCTACCTTGACTTTGGCCTTTAAACACAAAAACTAGTTGGGCTTTATCTGGGAAGGTATCCTGGGAAAGATGAATATTTAAGGAAAGTCTTAGAGAGGGATAGGGTCTGAAGATACAACCAGAGGTTCCACCCCTGAGTGTCCCTTCACCCCCATGCTCACAAATGAGTCTTCTTTGCTCCTCAGGCAGATCTGGAGGAAGAACGAATACGGCAGAAAATAGCAGAAAGGACCTCTGAAGAAACGATACGGATTTACTCTTTGAGGCTGTTTTTGAACTGTATTGTTCTGGCTGTTTTAGCGGCATGCTTTTATGCAATCTATAGAGCAACTATATTCTCACAAGAACACATGAAAAAAGTAAGGACTCCTTGAAAGTTAACTTTTACACTGGTTGGGACATTAAGCTAAGTGCTTTGTAAACCTATGAGGCAGACACCACCATCATTTGTTTTCCATGTCAGTCATCTGGCTGATATGACAGAGAACCAGAAATCAGAGGTGACCAATTTCCACTTCTAATAGAAAGAAAAAACATCCAAGATAGCATATTTGTGGCACTACTCTCCCTGGGACTCACAATATTTAAATCCAGCTGGATTGCCTGATTTAACCCCCAACTCCTCTACTTATTAGTAGGGGCCTCAGTTTACCTAAAATAACAGTGGTTTTAAAAACTCAATTTGGTCTAGTGACTCTGCTTCATAAAATCAATCATCAGGGGCCCAGATGCTTTCCAGCCTGTGGCTCGGCCACCCTTAGAGTGTGGCCCTCTTCTGTATGGTACTTGATAGCTTACCAGATAGCCAATGGGAAGGAGATGAGAAGGGCACACCCCTTCCCTTTTAAGGTCGTGACCTGAGGTTGCACTTAAAAGTTCCACTTACATCCTTTTGGTCAGGTAGCTGTACCTAGCTACAAGGGAGGCTGGGAAATGTAGTTTTATCCTGGATAGGCCTATACTGTATGTGGCTAAATAGTCTATTATAATTAAAGAAGGAAAGAATGGCTATTATAAGTAATTATTACAACCTTGAAAATACATTGCCCATTGATACAGAAATATGGATTGTTTTTCTTACATCTCACCCAAACAAATCCAGTAGAGCTCATTTTTCTTCTAGTATGTGCTAGATCATGTTTCCTGTATTTGAACACCCAAGGAAGGAGGATGGCTTATGTTTAAAGGCCTTGTTGAATGACATGTATGTTTTATTTTGTTTGCTAATGAACATGTATAGTTGAGGTTTCCCCCCAGTTTTATTGAAGTATAATCGACATACAACACTGTGTAAGTTGAAAGTGTACGGCCTAATACACGTAAGTTGAGTTCTTTTAAGATCAATTCATCTGTGATGCAACTTTCCGTATTATTCTCCTGACCAGTTTTGTTATCTTCATAGGAAATCGACAAGATGATTTTTGGAGAGAACCTCTTGATATTGTACCTGCCTTCTATTGTGATCACTCTGGCCAATTTTATCACCCCAGTGATCTTCGCCAGGATCATCCACTATGAGGATTATTCCCCAGGCTTTGAGATCAGGCTGACAATCCTTAGGTAATGTCTAGACATGCCACTCAGATCACCACTTGCCCCATCCGTTGCCTCTGGCAGACATTGCTAATCAATGGTGGCACATTTTCCTGCTAAGCCAAGAATCCTCTTCAATGTTCAGACAGCTCCCAGGAATGAATCAGAGTTTGCACAGTCAGTGAAATCTCTTTGACTTAAGAGTCTACTCATCAGTGTTATATTTTTGGTTCATGTTTTGGCGCATCGTCATCTGAGGGCTTAGGGTGGGGCCCTACGAGGAGATGTTGCTCTGAAGATGTTAGAAATGCCGAGAGGGGTAAGGAAGTGAGAGAGAAGGAAAGGCAGCTGATAAATGGTGTGTTACTGGGCAAGTTACTGCTGTTGATTACTGGGGCTCAGTTCTCCAACCAAACCAGATACTCTGCCTCTACTGCCTAAGGGTGGCTGGCTCCCAGAGGCATTAACTCCCCACATTCCACCCCTATCTCCAGGGGTGGGCCTTAGGTAGAGACTTACAAGTCCTTGCAGGAGGAACTTGAAGCATTTGTTGGAATAGTGAGCGCTGAGAAAATGTGGCCAGGTCACCCACAGTGTGTGCTACCATTGAGTTTCTGTAAGTTGTTGTAATACCTCTTCTCACTTTAAATAAATATTCAGTCTCATTTTTAAAATAATGACAGGTATGAAGCAGGGCGCAGGAAGTTAACACAAATGAGTTAGAGAGGACCAGGTGGGGACCATGTGATGTGAGCATTTTTTGCTGCTTCTCAAATGCCTCATTACATTTGCATCTTTTTTTTTTTACCTCACCCAAGAATATGTTTTTATTGATTTGAGAGAGAGAGAGAGAGAGAGAGAGAGAGAGAGAGAGAGAGAGAGAGAGAGAAAGGTGAAAGGAAAACATTGATCAGCTGCCTCCCATACATAGGGATTGAACCCGAAATCTAGGTATGTGCCCTGACTGGGAATCAAACCCACAAACTTTTGGTGTACAGGATGATGCTCCAACCAACTGAGCCACCCAACCAGGACCATTTGCATATTTTTAAAAAATATTCTTATTTTGGAAAATTTTAAACAGAATGAATGGTATAATGAACCCCCCATGCACCTGTCACTTAGTTTCCATTATCAACATATTGTCAGTCTTGTTTCATCCCCCCTGCCCCCCAGATCTCAGGCGACATGCCATTTCACCTGTAAACACCTCAGTATATCTTTTAAGTGACAAGGATTTAAAAATATGTATATAACCATCATGACCCCTAATAAAACTGTCAGTTCCCTGATGGAATTGCAGACGGCTTTGTATGATTGGTTTGTTCAAACCGGGGCGTAGGGTGGGGCCCTGGTTTGAACAACAAGGTGATTACCAAAGGGAAAGGAAGGTGGGGGAGGTAGGAGAGGGCATGGGGGAGATAAGTGGTGATGGAAGGGGACTTGACTTGGGGTGGTGAACACACACTATAATATACAGATGATATATTATAGAATTGTATGCTCCTTCTATTCTTTAAAGAATTCTCCTTCCCCTTGTGCTATACTATTGATTTATGGGGGAAACTGGTGCATTTGTCCTGTAGAATGCCCTGTAGGCAGCATTTAGTTCATTGTTTTTTCATGGTGAGTTTGTTTTTCTGTACCATAGTCATGGTAAACTACTGGGTAGGTTCAAACTCTTCATTATATTCTGCTTCAGTTTTTCGTTATGGGAACTCCTCAGTGACTCTGGGTTCTCATCTCACCACCAGGCATGTAGGGTCAGGCGGCACGCTGCCCACTGGGAAGAGTGAGCCAATGGTGTGGACTTGCTTTTTTCTACCGCCCACTTTTTAATGGCATAAAAAAAATTACAAACCACGTAATAGAAAGCATCTTTAAAAAAAACAATAGTACTCTCTGCCCTCCTTTATTGAATCCAGCTTCCCCAGGCAGCCCTCATCTGCTCATGCCAACATCCACATTAAAAAAAAAAAGTAGATTCGTATCTGTATGAAACTCTGCAATATGCTTTATTCATTTTTCAATATATCAGACATCTCTCAAAGCTGATGCTTATAAGATTCAATTAGTATTTTCTTTTTTTCCCCCCAGAAATGTACAGTGTTCTATAATATGGCTAAAACATCATAGATTCAGGAGGTCTCAGTTTTCTTATCTTTTTTTCCTGCCATTTAAAAAATTGTTGTATTATATTAGCATAAAATCTTCCATTTCTAAAACATGTTTTTATTTCAGAGAGGAAGGGAGAGGTAGAGATAGAAACATCGATGGGAGAGAATCACTGATGGGCTGCTTCCTGCACACCCCCTACTGGGGATCGAGCCCACAACCTGGGCATGTGCTCTGACCAGGAATCCAACCGCGACCTGGTTCATGGGTCAGCGCTCAACCACTTAGCCACACCGGTTGGGCAAAATTTGCCATTTTTAAGTGTACAACTCAGTGGCATTAAGTGTTGAGCCACCATCACCACTACCCGTTTCCAAAACTTGCTCATCACCCCAAATGGAAACTCTACCCATTTGTGAGTTTGCTTCTAAGAAAGGCAGCTTCTCTGCCCCCTAAGCCCTCGTTCAAGGGCCCAGCCTGCCCCAGGGCCTCCTCTTCCCTTCCGTCTCTTCCTCTCTTCCTGCAGGTGTGTCTTCATGCGGCTGGCGACCATCTGTGTGCTGGTGTTCACCCTGGGCTCCAAGATTACATCCTGTGATAACTACTCGTGTGAGCTCTGTGGCTACAACCAGAAACTCTACCTGGTGAGGCGGGCGGGGGGGGGGGGGGGGGCGAGGGGAATGGGCGCATCCCGCTGAGTGGGTCATTTTGGAGAAACAGCCTCAAGGTTGAGAGAAGAATCTGGAGGTCATGGGCTTGAATTCCAGTTGATCCGCTTTCTCACTTCTAAGGGCTTGAAAACCAGTTTGTGCCGGAGCTCAGAGGAGCACCAGCTGACAGGCTCCAGAGGCAACAGGATCGGAGACGAGGATGGGCATTGGGAGGAGTCTGAGAACGTGGCTTTCTCTGCCCTGAGTCGGGTCTCATGGTCTCTCCCTGTCTTTGGTTTTAGTGCTGGGAGACCCAAGTTGGGCAGGAAATGTACAAGCTGATGATATTCGATTTCATCATCATCTTGGCTGTGACCCTTTTTGTGGATTTTCCCAGAAAGTAAGTGTGAGGGGTTCCCCCCGCCTTTACTACCCCACTCCTCCCACCCCTGCCCCTACTGGAGGATCCTCTCATAGCTGCCCTCCATAAAGCGCTGGGTGAGCTCACAGTCCCGGGAAACCACTGACAGCCATCCCGTGGCTTTCACACAGCTCCAGGCCATCAACCCCATAGTCCATTAGGTTCCCCAAAAAGGCAGTGTGAGGAGTGGAAATGTCTGTTTTTCATGAGGTTTCCATGGGGATGACTTCCTGCCATTAGCACAGCCACAGCCCTGTCAGGGAAGACCCTCCAGGTCTCAGTGGACACCCCACTTCCTGATCTGGGTTCAAACCCCAGCACTGCCACTTGCTAGTCGTGTGACCTTGGGCAGGCAATTTAAGGAAGGTCTGGGCGTATTTTCCCACCTGTGAAATGAGACAGTAGCAGTGCCCACCTCACAGCACCACTGTGAGGGTTAAATGAGAAAATGCAGAGAAAAGTACTAAGAACACTCCATGCTTCGAAACTCAGCAAAACATTAACTATCACCATTATGATTATCAGTACTATTCTGTGAGCATGTCAGAAGTCCAGTAAGCCCTTAAAATAAACATTAAAAAAGACACTGTCCTTGTGCGGTGGTATGGCTCAGTGGTTGAGTGTCTACCCATGCACCAAGAAGTCATCTGTCCGATTCCTGGCCAGGGCACATGCACTGGTTGTGGGCTCAGTCTCTAGCAGGGGGTGTGCATGAGGCAGCCGATCAATGTTAATGTTTCTCTCAACGGTGTTTCTATCTCTCCCTCTCCCTTCCTCTCTCTCTCAAAATCAATAAGAACATATTTTAAAAAGTTACAAAAAAGAAACTGCCCTTTAAAAATTATACAGCCCAGCCTTAATGGCTCATTAGTTGAGCATTGACCTATGAACTAAGAGGTCATGGTTCAATTCCCCATCAGAGCACATGCCCGAGTTGCAGGCTTGGTCGCCGGTGGGGGACATGCAGGAGGCAGCCAATCAATGATTTTCTCTCATCATTGATGTTTCTGTCTCTCTCTCTCCCCCTCTCCCTTCCTCTCTGAAATCAATAAAGATATATTTTTTAAATAAACATTATGCAAATATGCCATGAATATGTGCTTCTTAAAATTTTGTAAATATTGAGAATTTAAATAAGTACAGGAGTCTGAAGAATAGTGAGAGTTCTTGTTTGTTACCATACCTCTAACTCCCCAAACCCCTCCCACTCCTCAGAGATGGCCATTGTTAATATTTGGGGGCAGATCCAGCAGTCCTTAACAGTAAAAAGTCATTTGCATAAATACATGTGTACATAGACACACAGCCTTGCTATATAGACGTGTTCATTTCCCCCCTTACGTGGGATCACGGTGCATTGATTGGTTTGCAGCTTGCTTTTTTTCCTCCCACACAAACAAAACATCTTGAATTTTCCATGGGAGGACACATGGATTTTCCTCACCTAAGGACTGTATAATACACCACTGTATCCATGGCTTATAATTTGTCAACCCAGGTCCTAATTGTGGGCATTTAGGTATTTTTGCTAATACATGGCAATGCTATAGTGAACAATGGTGTGTGTTTATCTCAGACCCCTGGCCTGAGGGTGTCAGTAGGAAGCTTTAGGACTTCAGCATGCTTAGTGGTAGGGTCTTCATAAGCTATTTTCTGTGTGGATGCACATGACTTTGTGGGCTGAGTGGCAGGCCAGAGCACAGATACTGCCCATGTTGTTTATCGTCACCTCAACCCTGTGAACTAAATTGTGTCATAAACCCCCCATATTCCAGATGAGAAAAACGAGCCTTCTCTAAATTTATTCGGCTGCTCAGTTGTAGATCTGAGACTCAGACCCTGGTTTTATGATTCCAGAATTCACTATCTTTTGCATCTTCTAGCCTTGTGACTAACCAGTTTCCAGATCTGTGTGGAAATGGCCCTAATTTTGTGGACGTGGTTCTGTGGCTTTGGCGGATGCTGGTGGTGCAAGTGAGAAATTGTCCCATTTGTCTCCAGGCTCCTGGTGACGTACTGTTCCTCTTGGAAGCTGATGCAGTGCTGGGGGCAGCAGGAATTTGCCATTCCTGATAATGTCCTGGGGATCGTGTATGGGCAAACCATTTGCTGGATCGGAGCCTTTTTCTCACCCCTTCTCCCTGCCATTGCAACCGTGAAATTCATCATCATCTTCTACGTGAAAGAGGTAAGGAGAGGTGGGGATGACAGGCTGATACCCGGCACCATTCTTGACCTTGCACGGCATTCGGTACCCGTGTTTGGAGCTCACCCACATTCTGTCAGATACCTCAAAATTACATCCCTTATTTGATATATACTTCTGTTCTGGAAAAAAGATGTTCACATTTTATAATTTTGAGAGTTCTGTTAAGTGTTGTCTTGCTCCTGTAATTTAAATGTCATTTTATGTGTCACTGTCTAGGAGCTGAGTTGCAATTATTGACCAGTTGACAGTGGGACATTTTGGTCGTATTTAATGCAGTGATTATTAATTTAAACTTTGTAATTTTCTGTTTGGATTTTGGAGCCTGTGAATTTATGTTCTGGTCTCAATTATTTGTGTAGGTTCTCAAAGAGCTGGCAGGCCCTAGGCATTGTGTCTGAAATAAGTGCTTAATGGGTGAAGTGGCCTGCAGATGACTAACCTACCTGGGCTTATTAACCAAACTTCTTTTTCTTGTTATAGAGGCAGTATAAGCTCAATATTAAACATTTAAACAGTAGAGATATGTATGCAGTAACGTTCATCCCTTCTTCCAGAGGTATCCTTTGTTAACAAGCCCAACATTCATCTATTACCTCTAATACCAAGGCCTGAGGATTCAGAAATGGGAATAATAATAGTATTAATAATAATAGCAGATGATTGTAATGCCATGTGCCCCTACTCTGATGAACACTTAGGAAGCTGAAGTTCAGAGAGGTTAAGTAACTGGTTTAGGGTCACACAGCTTATAAGTGACTCCTCAGATTTGAATCTGGATTTATCTCGCTCCAGAGCCACTTAACCTGGTGAGCAGGATCTTGAAATTGGGCCAAACTTTCTTCCTGGATGGTTTGGCCTTTGAAGAATGTTCTGATGCTTTCATTTGGAAACTTCGTTTGGCTGAAGTCACCAAAGAAGAAATAGAGGAGAAAAAGCTCATAGGAACTTTTTCCCTTTCCCGAAAATATCGGTTGGCCAGTGACTTCCCAGCCTGCAGCACAGTAAAGACAGCGTGGGAAGGCCTGGGTCAGGGGCACTGGGCTGTTCTGACACTCACTCCAGGCCTGACTGACCGGCTGCCCCCAGACAGAACACCAAGTGTCCTTGGAACTCAGTGTCCTCTGCTCACAGGATGTTCTGGCTACTGCTGAAATCAGAAGAGCTTGATGCCTACTCCCAATAATTGCATTTAAAATAATAAGGAGAAATATTATGCCTGTTATTATACCTCTCTCCTCCTCCCCATTTAAAATAAGTATTTTAAACTATAGGGAAAATTGCCCTGGCCAGTTTTGCTCAGTGGTTACGTCGGCCTGTGGACCAAATTCCCTGCCCTATTGGGGGTGCAAGTGGGAGGCAGTCAATCGATGTATTGCTCTCACATTGATGTTTCCCTCTCTCTCTCTCTCTCTCTCTCTCTCTCTCTCTCTCTCTCTCTCCTCCTCACCCTTCCTTCCACTCTCTCTAAAAAAAATCAATGGAAAAAAAATATCTCGTGTGAGGATTAAAAAATAAAATATAGGAAAAATAAATATGCTTATAAGAATTCAAGTAAAATATATCTTAATTTTTTATGGAGTATTGTAGATCAATTTATTTTATTTATTGGTAAGATGGAGAGAGAGAGAGAGAGAGAGAGAGAGAGAGAGAGAGAGAGAGAGAGAATGAGAGAGACACTTGTTGTTCCACTTATTTATGGATTCATTGGTTGATTCTTGTATGTGCCCTGACTGGGGATCAAATCTGACAATGCTCTCACCAACTAAACTACCTGGCCAGGGTTGTAGGTCCATTTAATACATATTTAAACCCCTATCTATAATAATAAAAGTGTAATATGCTAATTAGACCAGACAGCTGAACGACCTTCCAGACGTCATTCCGGACGTCCTTCCTGATGAAGCCATGGCGGCAGGGTTGAGGCAGAGGCGGTTAGGGGCGATCAGGCAGGCAGGCAGAGTGGTTATGGGAAATCAGATAGGCAGGCAGGGGAGCGGTTAGGAGCCAGCGGTCCTGGATTGCAAGAGGGTGCAGGCGGGCTGAGGGACCCGCTCCCCTGCCTCCTGTGCATGAATTTCATGCACCGGGCCTCTAGTAAAGAATACTTAAAAAAAACAACCTTAAATGAGGTCATACAGGACAGAGCGCTGAAATCTACCCTTTTCATTTCCCAGCACCACGTAGGAGGTAAAGCTCGCTTTCTCCTCCTTTCTAGGGGCTGCATGGTATTCCGTTGTGTGGGTGTAACTTTTTTAAAACACACACATATTTTTATTGATTACAGAGAGGAAGGGAGAGGGGAGAGAGATAGAAACATCAATGATGAGAGGGAATCATTGATCGGCTGCCTCGTACACACCCCCTACTGGGGATTGAGCCCGCAAGCATGGCATGTGCCCTTGAATGGAATCAAACCTGAGACCCTTCAGTCCACAGGCTGATGCTCTAGCCACTGAGCCAAACCAGCTAGGGCTGGATGTAACTTTTTAACCTTTAAGGACTACCCCCACCCCCTTGATAGCTATTTCGGTTGCTCCAGTTTAGTTATTCCTTGATAACAACAACTATAGCAGTAAACATCCACATACATGTATTTTGGCCCAATGTTGGGGTCAGGATTAAACATTTTTCATTTTGATCTAGATTGCTTACTGCCCTGTAGAAAGATTAGACCAATTTACATTCCCACTGCAATGCTTGACTTTGCTCATTTATCCTCAAGGAAGCTGTACTCTTAACGTTTCCTCTCTTTTTTCTCTCCCCTTAGATGAGCCTTCTTCATACCTGCAGACCCTCCCCAAGGCAGTTCAGAGCATCCAATTCTAATTTCTTCTTCCTGCTGGTGTTGTTGATCGGCCTGTGCTTGGCAGTAATACCGCTGACAATCAGCATGGCACAGTGAGTACCACTTGGTTTTCTAACATATTTCCCTGCTTCCTGACACGATCCCCTTTTGTTAAAGGGTCCCTAGTGTTTTCTATGGGCTTTGCTCACAGGGCGCCACCCGCAGAGCTCCGGTCAGGAAGCTGCTCCTGGCTCAGCCAGGCCGGTCCTTGCTCTGGACGCTCCCTCTGGTGGCTGGATCCTCTGGGTCCACTTCCAGAACTTGGGCTTGCTGGGTGGCCATTACTTTTGAGAGTGCCAGGTGGGTCTGTCCTATCTGTTCCCTTTTCCTGAGACTTCTCTGCTAGTCCCCATTTGGATTGTGTCTGATTATAAAAAGAAGCAGGAAGTCACCCATATTCCTGCCACTTTAGTGGAGGGTTTGCACTTAGCAAACATTTACTTAACACCTTCTATGTGCCAAGCACTGTTCTAGATGCTAGGGATATAAAGACATTTAACACATAACATATGAATGTAGAGTCTGATTTGGAATTTGGAAAGAGCAGAGATGCTCAGCTCAGGACTGAGGAGCAGAAGTTGAGGTTTCAAGCCCCAGTCATGCCACTCCCTCGGTGGGTAAACACTTATACCAGAGGCCAGCAAACTTTTTCTGTAAAGGTAAGAGAGTAAATAATTTAGGCTCTAAGGGCCAAATGGTGTTCATAAGCCACCATAGACAATATAAAAACTAATGAACATGACTGTGTTCCAATAAAACTTTACTTATAAAAAACAGGTGGGGGGGTCAAGTTTGGTCCATGGGCTCTAGCTTGCTGACTTACACTCTCATAGGATTTAATTTCTTTATCTTTAAGTTAAAATCCTTCAATTTGGAATCTGTCTCTCATACTTTATTTTTTAATTAACCTAAACATATATTTCATTGTTATAGTAATATATATTATACATAAAATTTTCAAGTAGTACAGAAGGGTGAAAATTAAAGAGGAAAAATACTCTTTATCTTCACCTCATAATCCCACTCTTAGGTAACCACTGTTAACTTTTTGTGAGTACTTCTAGAAATTCATAAGCAATATATTTCTTTTAAAATATTACCTATGGAATAATGCTATAATCCTGTTTGGCAGCTTATTTTTCCCCCTTAATTTTATATTGTGTCATTGTCCATGCCAGTACATATAGAATTCTCATTCTTTTAAAATAGTTTTTAACTTTAATTTTTAAAATAGAATACATATATTACATGGCACATAATCCATATTTATATATTTATTTCTCCCTTCCTCTCTCTCTCTAATCAATCAATAAATTAAAAAAAAAATTGTTAATCCATTTCCTTAGACAACACTTAGGTGGTTTTAAGGAATTTATTTTTACCCGTAATAAATAGGGCTGCAATGGAAAACTTTCTACACAGAACTTTGTGATGTGAATGTAGGCAGTTCTTTGCAGAGCTTAATTTTTTTCCAACATAGTTTTACTTTTTCCCTACTTTGTACTTTGAACAATTTCAAACCTATGGAAAAGTTGAAGAATAGCCACAATGAAAACTCATATACCCTTCAACTGGATGCCCCAATTATTGACATTTTGCTACAGTTGTTTCCTCTCTCTCTATGCATACCTTTTTGTGTGTGTGATGAATCACTTGAAATTAAGTTGTAGGCACCATGAGTTTATCCCTAAGTACTTGAGGATGCAGCTCCTAAAAATAAGGCCATTCTCCTTCCTGTGCATCCACAATAACATGTCACACATAAGAAAATTAATACCAACATCACAGTCCTGCCATTTTCAAATTTCTCCAATTGTCCCCAAATAGCCTTTCGTAGCTTTGTTTTAGAACTAGAGGCCTGGTGCACAAATTTGTGCACTGGAGGGGTCTAGCCGGCCCACCCAGTGGGAGCCATCGGGGGTGGGCTGGCTGGGGCGAGGGACCGTGGGTGTTCCAGTCGTTCCGCTGTTTGGTCAATTTGCATATTACCCTTTTATTATATAGGATGAGGATCTTTCAAGCTTTACCCATTGCTCTCGGGTATGTGTTTTTAGTCTTTTTTTAACCTTTGCTTTTTTGAAGAGTCCAGGCCAGTTTCCTCACCTCTAAGAGCCTGGAGAATGGAATCCCCACATTGTGCATTTGTCAGATTATTTCCTCATGGTGTCATGTAACTTGTTCTGTTCTGAATTTCCTGTAAATTGGAAGTCAGGTCTAGTGATTTGATGAAATTTCAGGGTAAGCATTTTTGACCAGAATATTCCAGAAGGCCATGAGGTCAGGCAGTTGCTCGAAGGTTGCTGTTAACAAAACCTGGTAGGTGTGTAAAGGGGGAACGCTCAGCCTGGGAGCGCGCCTCACCTGAGCTCTGTGCTCTGTGTCTGCAGCATCCCTTCCTCGAAAGCCTGTGGGCCCTTCACCAACTCCAACACCACCTGGGAGGTGGTCCCCAAGACGGTGAGCACCTTCCCCAGCTCGCTGCAGTCCCTGGTCCACGGCATCACGTCGGAAGCCTTTGCAGTGCCTTTCTTCATGATCATCTGGTGAGTGAGAACCACCTGGACCCCGTGAGTAACTCCCAGGGAAGTACGTGGGCTTCTCTCCACTGGGAAATGGGAACTCACCTGCTACACTTCAGATGCTACTGAGCCTCACTTTCCCATCTCTATAATGGGCATAATAATAGCAATTCCTTCAGAGGATCATTGAGCAAGTTCAGTAAGATCCCACATGTAAGGCACTTAATCCAATGCCTGATTTACAAAAACCTAATAAAGTAATAATAATTACTGATTATTCTCAAAATCACTGCTTTTTGAAAAAGAAACTGATTATTGAGTAGAGAAAAGAGCATAAACTTGAACGTTGGCTCTACCAGTTATAAGCTGTGTGGCGTTCCATATTAAAAAAAAAAAATGCTTAGCAGAGGACCTGCTGTTAAAGGCTCAGTAAATGAGAGGTGCTATATGCAAGGGTAATGAGGGTCTTCGCTACACAGTGATGATTGATATTGAGTGTTAAAGTAATTCTAATCACAAATGTGTATCGAGGGCTTACTACGTGCGGTGCATTGTTCTCATTACAGTGGGGCCTCATTGTTCACGGAGTCTGTGTGTTTTATTCCTGTGGTGTCAATGTGCCCACTCACTAAAAGATTGTTGAGATCTCAAAATCAGTACTCGCAGCCGTTTCCATGGTCATTTGAGTCTCTTGCTGTGCAGTCTTAGTTTGTTCAAGCTGCTATAATAAAACGGCACAGACTAGGTGGCTTATAAACAACAGGAATCTCTCACAATTCTGGAGCCTGGGAGCCCCAAAATGAGGATGCCGGATGGCTGCATGAGGACCCTCTTCCAGCTTACAGCCTTCTCATTGTGTCCTCATAGGACAGAAGGGGCCATGGGGCCTCTAGTCCCTTTTATCAGGGCACTAATTCAAATATTGAGGGCTCCACCCTCATGACATAATCACCTCCCAGAGGCCCCACCTTCTAACACTGTCACATTGGGGATTAGGATTCCAACATGTAAACCTAGGGGGGACACAAATATTCAGACCATCGCATGCACCTTCCCAGCTGAGGTGAAACAAGGCCTTAAGTACACTGCCGTCGGACTTCAGTTCTCACACCACAAGCAAGTGCCCTGTTTGCAATCTCGTTAGGGCTGTGTTTCTTGCATTTTATGCTTTTGGTTGGTGGTTCCACTGTTTGAAGGCCCCAAGTGTAATGCTGAAGTGCCGTCTAGTGTTCCTAAGTGCAAGAAGGCTATGATGTGCTTTACAGAGATAATCCGTATATTAGATTAGCTTCGGTCAGTCATGAGTTACAGTGCTGTTGGCTGTAAGTTCAATGCTAATGAATATTAAATGTCTTTAAACAGAAACAAGGTTATGTATGGATAACCTTTCGCAGTAAACAAGAAACATAAGGTATTGATCAGTTGAGGAAAATGTTGTGACCATCGGAACCTAAGCCTGTAGTTCCTCTAAGGCAGCGGTTCTCAACTTGTGGGTCGCAACCCCTTTGGGGGTCAAACGACCCTTTCACAGGGGTCACCTAAGACCATCGGAAAACACATATATAATTACATATTGTTTTTGTGATTAATCACTATGCTTTAATTATGTTCAATTTGTATCAATGAAATTGGGGGTCACCACAACATGAGGAACTGTATTTTTTTTTTTTTCCGATGCAAAAGCAAAGAGTCATTTATTTCAAACCTAGGTTTGGCTCCCCTGCCCCCCCCGCCCCTTACTGGCACAGCAGCAGGTGGCAGAGCAGGAACTGTATTAAAGGGTCACGGCATTAGGAAGGTTGAGAACCACTGCTCTAAGGGCATTGGTCCAAAATTCACTAATTCAGCGTTCCTGGAGACTCTAGAGCAGCGGTTCTCAACCTGTGGGGTCGCGACCCCTTTGGCGGTCGAACGATCCTGTCACAGGGGTCGCCTAAGACCATCCTGCATATCAGATATTTACATTATGATTCATAACAGTAGCAACATTACAGTTATGAAGTAGCACTGAAAATAATTTTATGGTTGGGTCACAACATGAGGAACTGTATTTAAAGGGTCAGAAGGTTGAGAACCATTGCTCTAGAGACTGCCACAAATAACTGGAATTGATTGCAGTTCATGAAAGCATCACAATTACCCTGCGACATTGCTGCAGTAAAACCCCACCACAGTGCAAGAAGTGGGCCCAAAACTTCATCTGTGAAAGGCAGGATCCCTTGGATGAGATGAATAAAATGACCTGGGGAGCTGGGCAGCCAGCCAGCCTGCATCCGAGGTACCCGCGATGGAGCTACTCCATCCTAATTCGTTCACCCCAGCTGTGGTTTGGCTGGCACCATCTGGTGGTGGTTACCTGATCTGGCTTCAGCATCTTTGGGGACCTTTTCTGTCCTTGGCTGTGGGGACTTCCAGGAGCGTATCGATCATAACAGTGATTCCAGTGGCCCTCATTTCCTCAGCACTATCTTGGGAGAATGGACAGGAAACCACCTTCCCTTCATGTAATGAGCTTGTCCGCTGTTTTCCTCCACTCCACTTGCCCCACGCCCCAAAGATAATAATTTCATTGACCACCCCTACCCCCATTTGAGATTTAGGGCTGCACAGAAAACAGAAGCCGGTTGCCAATTGCTTTTATTCAAAATTGTATTATCTCAGGCCTGATATCACTGGGTGTTACTGTATTATCCCCATTTTACAGATGAGAAAACTGAGACCAGAGAGATTCCACAGTGATCATTCACCCCTCTGACTGTTTCGATGCCCTGTTTGGAAGAGGTGTGGGTTGTCTTTGTCTAATGAGTAAAACTGTTGCAGGCGAAACCTGTCAAGTTGTTTTTCTAAGTGGCCTTCAAATGGTACAGACACCCTAGTGACCATTTCACCTTGTGTTGCAGCCTCGTTATGTTTTATTTCATTGCCCTGGCCGGAGCACACAAGCGGGTGGTCGTCCAGCTCCGAGAGCAACTGTCCCTGGTAAGGAAGCATGCAGATCCTGGGCGTCATGGCGGGGGACATTTCCCCAGGGCATCTAGTAGAAAATAGCCTCTTTCTGAAGAATGCTACCGTCCCTCCCTCACCACCACTCCCCCAAAACTCTGCCTTCAAGCCAGGCCTCCACCAACTTCATTCATTCACTGACTCATTCATTCCTTCAGCATATATATTAAGCACTATCTGTGCCTCATACTGGGCTGGTTTACAATGGTGAAGAAGGAATGCTAAGTAGTTAAAGAAAAAAGAAATGTTGATAGCAGTAACTGCTGAGAAGATAATATGAACAAGGCAAAGTGACAAGTGGGCCATTTGCTGCTGCAGATGGTGGCCACTGAAGGCCTCTTGGAGGAGGTGAATGACCTTGTAGTTGAGACTTGAATGATGAGAAGGAGCTGATTGTGGGAGGTCTCAGGGATGAGAGGAACAGGCAGAGGCCACAGTGCGGAACGAGCTGGGTTCTCCTGGGGGCAGGGAGGGAGGGTGGTGGGGCTGGAGAGGCGAGATGAGGCAGAATTGCAGCTGGGTCACAGCATAGCCTGATGGCTCTGGTCGGAAGTTTAGGTGGAATTCTGATTGTGACAGGGAGCCACCGGAGGGTGTGAAGTAGAAGTCTGATGGACATTTTTTAAAGGTTACTGTCCATTCTTTGGACAGGGGGCTGTGGTGGGGGCAAGAGTGAGAGAGACAGGCCAGTCAGGAGGCCATTACAGTCGTCCAGTGTTTAGCATCCTTGGCCTCGTGTCTGGTAGGTAATTGAGCAGGTTGAAATCATGATATTTGTTTCCAAGTATACTGGATGTACTCTTGAACCTATTTCTTTTTCTTAGGAAAGTCGTGACAAGCGTTACCTAATCCAGAAACTAACAGAAGCCCAGAGGGATATGAGGAACTGACGAGACGGATGAGAAGATGCTGCTGCATGTTCATAAGCTGGCTTGGCGACCTGCTGAGCCTGCAGAGGTGCGGCTGGCTTTGCAGCGGATTTTTTAAGGAGTATTTTTCTGGAGACCAGGCCTTTCCTGAAGGTGGCCTCATGCGTGCAGCTGTGGTGGCCATGTTTCCGTGACCCGGCTCCTACTGAGGGCTTTAGAGACGTAGAAAAGCAGGTTCCAAACCAAGTCTTGCCTGTTGACCAGCCACTCGGTGACTGATGTATGCAGCCTTCAAGCTTTTACACCAAAAATGGGGGAGGAGAGACCTTACATATTTTTAAGGGCTTCTTGGTCTTGTCTTTTACAGTTAACTGTAGGGTCATCTGTTCATGAGGCTGGGGTCATTCTTTTAAACCAGGTTCTGAGGGTTTACACTGAGAAGTGTTCCTTAAGAAGTAGTGACCCTTCTGGACGGTTCTGTGGACTTAAAATGAAACCTGATTTTTTTTTTTTTTTTTAATGAAGAGAAAGCCTTGAATCATGATTTGGGAACAAGTGGTGGGAACCCGGGGAGGACGGCTGTGTAATTTCAGCCACACGGGGTAGTGATGTGAGGAACGCCGGTCCTGCTGTGTGAGGCACAGCCTCTGGATGTACCGAGGAAGCCTTCGGAGGGGATTGCTGCAGGCGGCAGTGATTTCCTAGCTGCGGCCTTATTACTCAGGGGACGGTGGCTCTACGGGGCTGGATATCCACAAGCCCTCGGTTCCCTTCCAGTCTTGAATTTGGGGACTTGGGAGAGGGCCCTGTGCCATCAAAATGAAGAGGGAGACAAAGGGTACCTCTCCGTCTTCCAAGTGCCACTTCCCTTCCTGCACTGAGGTCTCTATTTCTGAAGGACACTGTCCATTTCAGAGCCAGGCTGGAAAGACTGTTGAGTATTTATTTGAGTTGTGGGTTTATGGGCAGAAGTGTTTTGGGGGATATGAGTTGCAGCTCTGCCTGTTAATCAGACCAGCCTAGTAGCCAGTGTAGCAAATCAGACAATATTGTGTTCTTGAATACATATATCCAAATCGTTCAGGGCTACTGTTGGTTTTCTTGTGCTTAAAATTTTAAACACAAGTGCCTTTATGTTACAAAACATGCAGAGTACCTCTGAAGGTAATTTCAATTACAGTAAAAACTGTATGCAATCAATACCTCAGCATAAGCTTTCCGAAATGGATAGGTCTGAACTTTTTAACATAAGCCTAAGTTATTGTTTAATGTGATAACGGTTTCATTTTTACATCTTCAGGTCATTTGTTTTGTAACGTACTGTTTGAGGCAGCCTGCCTTTTACTGACTAAACCTTCTCCTGGGGGGTAGCTGGAATTTCACCTTGGATGCAGGTTTCAGAAAGCTGCTGCTGTTAAGAATATTTCCCACCCTCCTCCACCCCTCATTAGAAAAAAACGACTGCTCTGAGAAGCAAAGCCAGCTGACTGTGGCTTGCACATTGCGGTATACTTGTCTCTTTGCCCCAGGTCAGTTACTTGCCTTCCACAAAGTGAGCAGTAACATGGGATATTTTTGTACCTGTGACACCAATGAGGCTTTCAAGCTTTTTCTCTCTTGTTAAGGTTTACGATTTTCTAAGTCTAAAAACCAATATCATGGAATTTTGAGTAAACAAAAGTTCATGCAACCCTCACTTTTAAAAAATTCCAATTTGGGGCATTGCTACCTAGAGTATTTATATATATATAATGTTCTCACCTTTACCATACTTCTGAGGAGAGCCAAGTTTTCTGTGTGTGTGTGTGTGTCTGTGTGTGTGTGTGTGTGTGTGAGAGAGAGAGAGAGAGAGAGAGAGAGAGAAGAAAGAGATGGAAGCTGTTTTCTTTCCCTATTATAAAAATGATACTGAAATATGCTAATATATTTGTTTTAAATGCTAATTTACATACCTCTTGAATGTTTTGATATATGTATTTTGATAACTTTAATAACTTTAAGCGATGTCTGTATAATTGTTCAAGTGCAGCTCTCACTAACAAATGTGCATGAAAACTACTGATTAAACACTCTTGAAGGTTTTTCAATGTGATTGTATATATTTGAATTCACAGAGCTTTCTTGTCAATAATCAAGTGAGCAGGGACAATTATAAATTTGTAAAGTCATTCTTTGTCTTTTCCTAGAATCAGAGAGAGAAAAGAAGTGCTTAATTATAAGAGATCATCAGATGAGTGTTTTGATAACCCCTTGGCTCTGCTGAAGCTGAGGGACTTTCTGTTTGTTTGTTTTTTAAATATATTTTATTGATTTCTTTTTAGAGAGGAAGGAAGAGGGATAGAGAGTTCGACATTGATGAGAGAGAAACATCGATCAGCTGCCTCCTACACACCCCCAACTGGGGATGTGCCCACAACCAAGGTACATGCCCTTGACCGGAATCGAACCCGGGACCCTTCGGTCCGCAGGCCGACGCTCTATCCACTGAGCCAAACCGGCCAGGGTCATATATGGACGTTTATTCCAATAATGCCCACAGTATGGGGAGAGCAGCAGGAGAGCATCCTGGAAATTCTGCTCTGCCCCCACCCCCACCCCTTTGCCAGCTGGCTTATTACAGTGAGGAAGAAAGGGCGACCTACAGCTAACAGTGTAACTGGGAAAAGGGGAGGGGAGGGTCTGCAGTTTAGCTTTCAGGACCTTGAAGTCCAACAACAAGCTGACTAATCTCCTATGATGTTACAAACAGCTCAGCCCATACCTGGGACTGGAGAATGGTCAGCATTCCTGAGGCAACCCCCCACCCCCCGGAAGGGGTCATGGTCTAGGCACAGCAACCAAGTCAAAGTGTTTCCTGTCCTTGATCTGCTTTTATTTGTTACTAGAGGCCCGGTACACAAAATTCGTGCACTGGAGGGGGGTGTCCCTCAGCCCGGCCTGCATCCTCTCACAGTCTGGGAGCCCTTGGGGGATGTTGGACTGCTGCGGAGGCAGGAGAGGCTCTTGCCACCGCCACTGCGTTTGCCAGCTGTGAGCCTGGCTTCTGGATGAGTGGTGCTCCTCCTGTGGGAGCACACCGACCACCAGAGGGGCAGCTCCTGCGTTGAGCGCCTGCCCCCTGGTGGTCAGTACGCATCATAGCGACGGGTCGTTCTGCTGTTTGGTCGATTTGCATATTAGCCTTTTATTATATAGGATTTTATCTTATAAATATATTTTTATTGATTTCAGAGAGGAAGGGAGAGGGAGAGATAGAAACATCAATGATAAGAGAGAATCATTGATTGGCTGCCTCCAGCACTCCCCACACTGAGGATTGAACCTACAACCTGTGCCCTGACCAGGAATTAAACTGTGAACTCCTAGTTCATAGTTCGATGTTCAACCACTGAGCCACGCCAGCCAGGCCTTGATCTGCTTTTAAAATGTATTTTCTTTTTGCAACATGTCCTTCAGTTTCCCAGGGTTTGTAAGAAAACCTCATTTTATCTATAGTTAGTGCTAGGTGTCATCAAATAATTGAATTGATACCCATCCCCTGGAAAACTGACCTTTAGACCATTTCACAACCGACATTCCACGTGCTAAGACTGTTATCTTTCCCCTCTGGACTCTCGTAGGATCTGGATCTGCCCAGAGTCCTGCCAGAAAAGCCTGCCTAGAGCCCTTTAAAACTTCTGATTCCCTGTCCCTGGGTGCTGGCACTATTTTGGCGCTCAATTCAACTGGTTTCTGGATGACCTAATAAATTTATTATTCTTTACCACTTTCAGCCTCGTGCTTTCCTCCTTCGGCGCCCCTAATAGTAAGGTAAATAATCATTAAACAAACAAACAAAAAATCATTAAACAACTGTGGTACAATTCGTATTACATGCCCTTCCCCCGTCACCCTACCCCCTTCCCCCACAGAGGTAATCACTGTTAATGATGTTTATTTTATTCTCCCAGAAAATTATAATACATATTCAGGCAGATATATTTGTGTGAATGTATGAGATATATATTTCTGAGCTTCTCCCTTTTTTCTCAATAACATCTTAAAGATCTTTCCATATGAGTAGTGGCACATTCTTTTTTTAATGGCTACATGGCATTTCATTATATATGTGTTACCGAACTCAAGGAGTGCACCACTTGGGGTGTTCTAGTCAAGAACAAGATGTGACCTTGGCTGAGTAGCTCCGTTGGTTAGAGCATCCTCCTGATATGCCAAGGTTTCAGGTTTGATCCCTGGTCAGAGCGCATATAAGAATCAACCAATGAATGCATAAATAAGTGAAAAAAATCAATATTTCTATCTCTCCCTTTCTATCTCAAAATATCAATTTTTAAAAAATTAAAGATTAACAACAACAACAACAACAATGAGAGGTGGTTGTTTTATTTACTTGCAGCAACTAAAGGGCACAGGAGATTCACATCAAAGCTCTGTCTCCCCAAGGGGAGCCTTAGCCATTCCTTATACATACACTGGTTGGTTAATTACACATTGATTTCTTCTTTGCAGTTGGCTGCATTTACCCATTGAGTTCCTGTCAAGCTCATCCTGTTTACAGCTGCATCTGCAAAATACTGGACTATATTTTTAAACATTTAACAAGAAGAGCATTTATTAAGAACCACTCTAACTTTAATCCTAATCTTGAGACCCTTGTACTACCTAACAAGTGATTGCTTCCATAAGGATTTGCTCTCTTCTGGACACTTAAATTGTTTTTAGCCCTCGACCCACACCCCTTAAAAACACTAGGAGCTGGAATTTTAAAAGCCCCCCCCCCCCCCCAGCATTTCTTTATTTCTTTGTTCTGCCTCATTCTGCTACAGACTCTTTTTGGAAGGATGCTTTGCACATTCTTACAATCACAAAATATTCTCATCCAGGAAAGAGAAGAATCCAATTAGGCAAGTTTTTAGTTTGAATTAACTTGTAAATTGACCAACTAAATCCCTGCAGCTACATATGTGATTGCAGCTAAATGCAAGTAAGTGTTGGAGAAGGAAGGAATTGATTTTTCTAGGTTAGCACTGCAAGATAAGATTGAACTTCTGCATGTACCTTCTTTATATAAGGTACGGCTTTATTAGTTCCATTTGGCGTATTTTCTTTCCAATGCATGGGATGTGCTTGGGACATGGCATGGCTTTGCTATTTGCTTAATTGTGTGATTTTGTACAGGTATCTTCATCTTTCTGGGATAAAATTCCCTTATTGTTAGGCTTGGCCAGTGACACCGGCTGTGAAAGAATTCATAACTGAGAGAAGAGATAGATGTAGTGAGAGGGAGTTTATTTTACTTTTCATAAAGGGAAAGGGCTAGTGCATTCATTGCTAATCAATAAAAGGGCAAGAAACAAAACATGGTTTCCCCCTTTAAAGGGTAATGGCTGCTGTTGCTAGGTGATAAAAAAGGGAGGAGGATTTGGGGGGCTGAAATTGAGTAGACATTAAGGTGGGGGGGGGGAGTGTAGTTTGTTTGTTTTTCAGGAGAAGTCCAGGCAGATGTCCTAGGGAGGTGTTTTATCAGTATTTTTCCCAAGCCTATAAAACATGCTTAGAGTAAAAGTTATGAAGCGTTCCAAAGAGGCTTGTTTGAAGGGGAGGGGGAAAGGGAACTTTCTAACTAGAGCAGGGGTGGGGAACGTCTGGCCCTTGGGGCCATATAAGGCCCGAGAAATCATTTGGTCTGGCCCTGCCAAGGCATTAGGGGTGAATTAATTAAATGTTTGACCAAACAACAGGCTAATTTTTTAGTTGATAATTTTGTATGGCCCTCTAATGATGCTATTAATATCTAAATGGCCCTTGGCAGAAAAAAGGTTCCCCACCCTGGAACTAGAGATTCCTTGGTGAGAATTATCTCTGAGTTGTAAAAACAGTAGGGAATATGGGGATGTAGAATGTTGCCATGAGAGTAGCTTATCTTGTCCAGCCATTTGGACAGAGGGGCTCTTTGAATCAGAGCAGCTAACAACCTTGGGGTTTACTTACCAGGTACTTTTCATAAATTGTGGAAGGCTACAGCAAGAAAAAAGAGGCCTTTTTCTTGTCCTAACACTTATTTTAAATAGAAAAATAAAATACAATCACTTTTATTTTTGAGGATTGAATTAGGGATAAGTATGCCTTTTCTTTTTGAAATTTTGTTCCTCATTATAAAAATATTTATTATAGAAAATGCAGAGAACATTGAAAGCTGCAGAGGCGGGGGGGGGGGGGGAGGAAAAATCATGTATAAGCAATATTTATGGATAGCCACTGTTAAACTTGACAAAATTCCTTTTAAGATAGAAAGTACAAAGGGAGGGAAGGAGGATGAGAAGAAAAAAAAATGTTATTTCTTTTTCACTTAACGTAAGTTTTCTTCTTTTATCAAAAGTTCTTTATAAACATTTCAGTGGGCTACATACTAGTAACATCATACGGATAATTTTTAAAAACATTCTCTTGCTACTTAACATTTTGTTTCCAAATTTTCCTGATAATAACTGAGTCATCCATATAAATCTTTGTCAACATTTTTCCTTCTTAGAGATAGAAACCTAGAAGTGGGATTACAACAAAACTCAGAACATTTTAATGCTTTTGAGAGCCAGATTTACACTCTTAGCTCGAGATGAGAATGTTATATCACTTTCACTTTCAAGAAGTATTTGGGTTTAAAAAACTATATTAGTTCATCACAATTTTTAATGACTGCAGTGTATTAAAGTGATTTGAAAACAACTAGCAACTTCAATTATTTTACAAGAGCAGTGTTCCTTACATGTTTTATAGTTACTTGGATAAAAGATTTTATATATATATATATATATATATATATATATATATATATATATATATATATTATAAAGGTGTAAAGTAGAAATTGATAGCCCCTTTCTCACAATACTAACCCTGTGAAGTTATCAATATAAATGTTTTGTTATATATCCTCCCAGATATACATCTTTGATTTTTTACCCTCACATACATACTTTACATACTCAAACCCTCACATACATTATTTTCAGCCCTAACCGGTTTGGCTTAGTGGATAGAGCGTTGGCCTGCGGACTGAAAGGTCCCAGGTTCGATTCCAGTCAAGGGCATGTACCTTGGTTGCAGGCACATCCCCAGTGGGAGTTGTACAGGGGGCAGCTGATCGATGTTTCTCTCCCATCGATGTTTCTAACTCTCTATCCCTCTCCCTTCCTCAATGTAAAATCAATAAAATATATTAAAACAACAGCAACAACAACATTGTTTTCATTGGATAGGTGCCTAGAAGTAAGTGAAAGGTTAACATAGTGGTACATGAGCAGGCTAAATAGCCATCTCAGACGGTGGATAAAGAAAAATTGAGCCCAGCCGACATGGTTCAGTGCTTAAGCAACGACCTATGAACCAGGAGTTCACGGTTCTATTCCTAGTCAGAGCAAATGCCTGGGTTGCAGGCTCACTTCCTAGTGTAGAGCGTGCAGGAGGCAGCTGATCAACGATTCTCATCATTGATATCTCTCTCTCTCTCTCTCTCTCTCTCTCTCTCTCTCTCTCTCTCTCTCTCTCTCTCACCTTCTTCCCTCAATGAAACTACCTCTTCTTAAAAAAGAAAAAAGGAATTTATTTAAGGAAAGGGGATGGAGGATGGGATAGCGAAAGGGAAGGGCTGCACAGCACCGAGCCAAGAGGACATTGGGTCGATGATGGTGGTACTCTGGAGCTGGAGTTTCATCCTTACAGGCAGTCGCTGGCAGGAAACTTTTGTCGTCAGTGGGTTTGGGGGCTGAGCTGGTGGGCTTGGAATGCAGGTGTGCGATCAGGTGTCTTTAGAATAGTTTCAATTCCCTATGTGGTGTGATTCCTGGTATCCAGCAAGTTTTCCTGGTCTTTTGTTCTCCCATGGTGGGAAGCTTACAAATGGCCATTAAGGATCATAATGCCCTGTAGTCCTAACAGTAGGATTACTTTATCAATGGATATGCATTTTTTAAACATTTCCAACAATTTTTTTTCTAAACACTTAATATCTTAGAGCAGTTTTAGATTCAAAGCAAAATTGAGAGGAAAGTACAAAGATTTTCCGTATACCCCCCTACCCCACACATGCCCAACCTCCCCATTATCAACATCTCCTACCAGAGTGGTACATTTGTTTACTACTCCATCCCCTTGCTTAAATTAATTTTTCTTTATTTAAAAGAGAGATAGAAGCATCATAAATGCACTTTGGAATGCACTTTTAAAAGTATATGTTGCTAAATCTCCTCTCCTCACCCCAAACCCCAGTAAACCAATTGGCACCCATTTGTTTACCAACAATAAAGTGGACACAAAAATAATACGTGCTCTCTGCAGAAAATCTAAAATTGAGAAAATAAGTAGAAAGAAATTGTAAGTATTCTGTTAGCCCCAATACCTAGAGAGGACACTTTTGGCCATGTGGTGAACTTAATTTCAGCATGTAATTTCTACTGTTTTGAAGTGGATGTAGGATAAAAATGGAGAAAAATCTTTTTCTGTGTTGGTGAAGCACAAAGTACAATGGCTATGCCAATAAATTAATTCACTCATAGTCCTTTTTCCAGGAATTTAGTTGAGAAATCTTTACCCTGTCGGAGATGGGAATGGGATTGGGGGTGAAAAAGATGAAGGGATTTATAAGTACAAATTGGTAGTTACATAATAGGGGGATATAAAGTACAACATAGGGAATACAGTCAATATTGTAATAACTACATATAGTATCAGATGGGTATCAGATTTATTACGGTGTTCACTTCAGAAGTCAAATATCTAATCACGGGGTTGTACACCTGAAATTAATATAATATTGTACTCAACTGTAATTTAAAAATTAAAAAAAAATATGTAATTTAAAAAATCTTTACCCTGTCAGATCTTCGGACGAGCAATTTAGCATTCTCACCTCCATGGCAACCCAAGGTTCCTTCACCACCCCCTAAGTGATTGATAGCAACTGCATCCAATAGAATGTTTTCATTTGCGATTTCCAACCAATCGAATGGAAGCAGGGGCCTTGGGGCGTTACCACCGATGCAGATAGGGGCAGCGTCTTCCCTACGTCTGTTCTGCGTCATCAATCCGCGCTAAGGGCACGTTGGGCCCGCTTCGCTCAAGGGAGTCGTTGCTTTGTTGTCGCCGACAATGAGCTGTGCCCGGTGGGTGGCGTCTGGCTGCCGGTGGCGGCTGTGCTCCGGTGCCCCGCGACCCCTCTCAGGTAAAGTGGGAGCGCGGCCGCGGCGCGGCGTTGGGCGGGAAGCCCGGGGATTTTCGCCTGGGGTTTGGACCGGCGAGGTCACGGGGGAGACGTTTACAATGACGTCACAGGCCTGCGACGGAGCGCGGCTGCGAGACTTAAAACACTGGGCGCTGACGGCTAGGGCGCCCTGACGGCTAGGGCGCCGGGGGATGCGAGCATGGCTTTCCGCAGGGACTCTCCGGGGCGGCCTCTAAGGGTTGGCGCGTTGGGGAAGGGCACACCTGTGCCGTCACGTCACTGCGGGTGTCGGAGCGCCCGGCGGCGGAGGACACTTGTGGGCTTTGAAAGTTCAGTGCCCCCGGGGCGTCCTCGGGGCTGGTCAGGCAGAGTGCAGTCACGTGACCGGCGCCCGCTTCCCCCTTCCCCACCCCGAGCTTGTTAGACGCGCAGGGCTCGGGTCCCTCCCGGACCTGCTGGGCCGCTCTGCCAGCCGGTAGTACTTTAACACGCTCTTGGGCGGAACCGTGTACTTCAGTAGGAAGTTTGAGAAGCACCCGGGTAGTCGAAGGAGCATCGAGTCGGGAGCAGGGAGGCTTGGGTTTGGGTCCTGGCTTCTCCTTTTCTCGGTTCACCTGAGCTGCCTCGGAAAATGGGGAGGTCGCTTCCTACAAGTGAAGTCGTTCGTGTGCCACCTTCGGGATTTTGCCTCATAGCAAAATCATGTACTTTTGATTATTCAATATATTTTATAACCGTATTCCATTTTTAAATTAAATCGTTTCAGGGAAACTAAGTCCTTATGGTAAACCGAAGACCCGAATTGCCTGCCCCAAATCAAGTAATCAATACACTGAAACCAAGAAGTTATTAAACTGTGTTAGATACTGTGGCCTACCAAGGCCTGAGCCCAAGACCATCTCTTTTCCTGGTTAAAAAAAAAAAAAAAAAAAATAAGGGAGATTAGCCCTGGCCGGTTTGGCTCAGTGGGTAGAGCGTCGGCCTGCAGACAGAAGGGCCCCGGGTTCGATTCTGGTCAAGGGCAGGCACCTCGGTGCATGAGGCAACCAATCGATGTGTTTCTCTCACTTCGATATTTCTCTGTCTTTCTCTCTTCCACTCTCTGTAAAAATCAATGAAAAAATATCCCCCGGTGAGGATTTAAAAATTTTTTTAAAAAGGGAGATTACCAAGTGTTAGGATTTGTCAGCTATAAACAGACCAGTGTCCTTGATTAAATCAAAAGGATTGGAAGAGAATTTAAAAGAGAATAACTCTTACCACATGGGCATTATTTAATGTACGATCATAAGCCATGTAAAATCTTCCCATATACCACTTAAAGTCTTCTGGGTAACATTATTGTTTTATGTTTCACACTTTGGAAAACACAGATATAAAAACGATGCATTTGAGAGCTTCTACCACTGACTCTCAAGTTTAATTTATTTTTTTTAAAGTGTGTGACAATACAGGCAAAACTCATAGGATTGTTGAACATGGATTGTAATGCTTCTTTGTTGAGCCAATGGGCATAACAGAATAAGAATCTTCTTTCATTTATAAAGTTACCTTCCTTCCTGTATCTCATTTTATCTTCGTGGTAACTCAGTAAGAAAGGTTTTGTTGTTGTATGTTTCCCTTAAAAGGGTAATAACCTGATTATTACCAATTTGTATGTAAGAAATGGCAATTCTGATTTGTCCAAAGTTAGTGTTTTGAGACAAAACACACGTTTCCTGGCCCTAGCTCTGTGCCTTTTCTAAGGTCCCTTCATGCTTAGTAAAGACACCTTGCAGAGACTGTGAAAAGATAGAAATGGCAAATGTTATGATACTCAATTTTCCATGTTACCTCTCACCCCAGATCATTTACTAAGTGTCTGAATCTGGAAAGGTGGTACAGGCCTAGGGAACAATCTAGTATGTTTTTTTTTTTTTTTATTTTTTTTTATTTTTTTATTTTTATTTTTTTTTAATTAAATCTTTATTGTTCAGATTATTACATTTATTCCTCTTTTTTCCCCCCCCCATAACTCCCCTCCTCCCAGTTCCCGCCCCACCCTCCGCCCTCACTCCCCACCCACTGTCCTCATCCATAGGTGCACGATTTTTGTCCAGTCTCTTCCCGCATCTCCCACACCCCTTTCCCCCCCAGGAATAGTCAGTCCATTCCCTTTCTATGTCCCTGATTCTATTATAATCAACAGTTCATTCTGTTCATCAGATTATTTATTCACTTGATTCTTAGATTCACTTGTTGATAGATGCATATTTGTTGTTCATAATTTGTATCTTTACCTTTTTCTTCCTCTTCCTCTTCTTAAAGGATACCTTTCAGCATTTCATATAATCCTGGTTTGGTGGTGATGAACTCCTTTAGCTTTTCCTTATCTGTGAAGCTCTTTATCTGACCTTCAATTCTGAATGATAGCTTTGCTGGATAAAGTAATCTTGGTTGTAGGTTCTTGGTATTCATCACTTTGAATATTTCTTGCCACTCCCTTCTGGCCTGCAAAGTTTCTGTTGAGAAATCAGCTGACAGTCGTATGGGTATTCCCTTGTAGGTAACTGAGTTTCTTTCTCTTGCTGTTTTTAAGATTCTCTCTTTATCTTTTGCTCTTGGCATTTTAATTATGATGTGTCTTGGTGTGGTCCTCTTTGGATTCCTTTTGTTTGGGGTTCTCCGCGCTTCTTGGACCTGTAAGTCCATTTCTTTCACCAGGTGGGGGAAGTTTTCTGTCATTATTTCTTCAAATAGGTTTTCAATATCTTGCTCTCTCTCATCTTCTGGCACCCCTATAATTCTGATGTTGGTACGCTTGAAGCTGTCCCAGAGGCTCCTTACACTATCCTCGCATTTTTGGATTCTTTTTTCATTTTGCTTTTCCGGTTGGGTGTTTTTTGCTTCCTCGCATTTCAAATCATTGACTTGATTCTTGCGCTCCTCTGGTCTGCTGTCGGGAGTCTGTATAATATTCATTATTTCAGTCCGTGTATGCTTAATTTCTAGTTGGTTCCCCAATATAAGATCGAGGGTCTCATTAGTTTTCTTGTAGATCTCATTAAGTTTATCGGCGGCTTCTAAACAGTTCTTGAGAGACCTTAAAAGTGTGGTTCTGAACTCTATATCTTCCATTGACAATATTGTCCTTGAGAGACCTTAAAAGTGTGGTTCTGAACTCTATATCTTCCATTGACAATATTGTCCTGTTTCTTTGTCTCCGCATTTTGTTATGCTTCCTTGGTGCACCCCCTAGTGGTCTTTGTTCGCAGTCTTATAGTTAAATCTTGATTGTTGTAGCTAATTCCAGGGAGGGTTTGACCTCCAGGCCAAGTGGCTATGAGAATCAGCTGTGTCAGCAGTGAGAGAACTTCTGTCCTCTAGGGAGGTGCTAATCTAGCCTTTGCCTGAGGCTATCCGGCAAATGCCTGTGTGCAGGGCTTGGGCGGGGCGGGTTGCACAGGATCAACAGGGTGGGCCGGAGAGAGCAGTTATGGCGGCTCTCAGTCCTGTCCCCAGGGGCTCTGCCTCTCTGAGTCCCAGCACCCGCTGCAAAGCTCAGAGAGAAAGCTGCACTCGCTCTGACCGAAGCCAGACAGTCCCGCTTCTCCCGTTTGAGTCTGGGTCCCTAAAGACTCGCCCGTATCTGGAGCTCAGAGTCTGCGACTCCCTCCCAATTGAAAACGCCAACCGCGCCCTCCGCCGCCAGCCCGCTCCGTGCACTCCGCACCTCAGAATTTGACTTCAGCACTGCGCCTCCTCTGAGTGTCCGTATGCGTTTCTCTTTCCTCCTAGTTGTAGGACTTCCACTCAGCCAGCGTTCCTGTGGTTCTGGGTGATGTCCCTTCCGTTTTTTGGTTTCACTTTTGAAGTAGTTGTTCAAAGCAGCAAACTCTGGCGTTAACCTATGCCGCCATCTTGGTTCCTCCCCCTAGTATGTTTTTAATCTAAATATAATCCTACCCACAAAAAGTCACCTGTTTGTTGGATTTCATCCTATGTACTTTTTAAAAAGTGTATTTTTTTGTGTGTGTGTGTGTGTGTGTTTTTAAATGAGTACTGGGATGTCTGTAAAGTTCTTTCCCATTGACATGTTTTGGGGTGGGAGTAACAAAAGAAAGAACAAGCAAACAAAATTAATTTGAGAAGTAGAGCCAGCTCATCATTTTCAGTGTCAATTCCTGGGTTAGGTTTTTGCCCCATCCTATATAATCCTATATAATAAAGAGCTAATATGCTAGTTAGACCAGGCGGCAGAACGACCTTCTAGAAGGACCAGTGGGCGGGGCCATGGGGCCGTGAGGGCCAAGTCCCTTGCAGGGATTTCGTGCATCAGGCCGCTAGACTTTCTATAAGAAGGTCAGATTGATGAAAGCACCAGTCTTTGGTCTAGGAGGCAGAAACTTGCAAGAAGCTACCTTGACTTTATCAAATGTCCACATAAAAATATGGCCACAGTTAACATTGACCCATTGTCAGAAGGCACAGAACTGGGTAGTGCATTATACTTGGCAGAATTTGGAGTGCAGGAACTGGAGTCTAGTTTCTCGAGTCAAATATGCTCAGTGAGGCGGAGCAGGTTGTGCAGTGGAGTAGACCAAAGCTGGGTCACCATGCTTCACACCGCCATGCCTACCCACACTGTTGTGTTTAGTGAGGCACCTTAAACTCCACCTGGCCAAAAAGTTCAGATGCAGAATAATTGACCCTAAATCCCACCAGGCCTACCCCATCACCTTATGTCCAAAGCACTCCAGCTTTTTAATGAAAAAACTATAGATGTACCCCAAATGGAAATTTCCACACATTTTCTGGGTGTTGAAGTTAGACTAAATGAAAAATATCTATTAAAGACAGGAAGACATGGTTGTCATACATAAGGCTTGGAACACATCTCAAGGTGATACCAATACAGGTCAAAGTTCACTTTAAATATTTTCTCTGGGTCTCTATTTCCATATCTGCAAAATGGACTGAAAACAGCTTACATACCTAAACACATTACAAAACTCTTCTCAGGGAAAAAAACTTTTGGGATGCTGCCATATGAGGCTTAGAATACAAATCCAGGTGTCACTATTAGCAAATTTTTAAAGACAATATGTAATCTGTCCTAAAGAATTTACATTTTGAAGGCAAGAATAATTCAGTTGAATTGGATCTGTACCATAATGAGATGAAACCTAAGTTCTAAGGCTTATTTCTCAAAATCAGATGCTCATGGATATGGGTATTTTAAGAGAATTTAAATCTATGGTTCTCAACCTTGGCTGCAGAGAAGATTTGTGTACAGAGCTTTTTCAAAATATCAGTGTCCCCTTCCAGAAGTCAATTGGGGAGGAGCATTTCATGGTTTTGAAAGCTCCCTACAAGGTTCTGGGTAGTCAGGGTTGGGAACGAAGTGGGCCCGAAGTGGTGAGTGAACTAGAGAACCATGCCTATCTAGAGCCAGCTGCCACGTCAGCTGCCTTAAGAGAAGTCAGACTCAGCATTTCCCTATCTTCATACACTTAAACCAGAAATCCAGATATTTAGGTAAAGTCTTTTAAGTGTAGGTAACATTCGCTTCTTTTAAAAACCAATACTGCAGGATAAACAATACACTTAAGGGCATGTCAACCTAGGGGAACTCACTTGTTACCTTTGTTCTAAGGTGCCCCTTTTTTCTGTCTGTAAAAGGAAACATCTCAATTTTACTTGAGAGTAATGAAGAATAAACACTTGCATTGCAGCTTACGGAAGAAGAATCAGTGTCAGATTTTGCAGCTCAAGAATGACTTTAGACAATATCAATCGGGCAGCTGTGGATCGAATTATCCGTGTGGATCATGCAGGTGAATATGGAGCAAACCGCATCTATGCAGGGCAGATGGCTGTCCTGGGTCGCACAAGTGTCGGGCCAGTCATTCAGGTGGGCGCTGCTTTATATCTCTCAGCCTGGTCTACTGAACAGGGCTTACGGGGGTGGGGACCCAAAGGCCTTCAAGTAATGAATCATATTCGGTAATGTATTCTTAGGGGACGTACTCTTTGTCCCCAAATGAGTAAAAATTGAATATTGGGGAGAGAAGAGTGAAAAGGATATTATTCTTTCTATGCATAGAGCACAGATGGACATCCTATATAATAAAAGCCTAATATGCTAAGTGTCTGACCACTCAACTGTTTGACCAGTCGCTGTGACGCACACTGATCACCAGGGGGCACACGCTCTGACTGGTAGGTTAGCTTGCTGCTGGGATCCAGCTGATTGGGACGGGCCGGACATGCCCTGGATGAATCCATGCACTGGGCCTCTAGTTTAGTACATAAACAGATAATATGGTATATCTGTAGTAGTAAATTTTTATAGTGGGGGTGGGTAATAATGAAAAAGGGGTCGAGTCCTAGCCGGCTTGGCTCAGTGGATAGAGCATCAGCCTGCAGACTGAAGGGGTCTTGGGTTTGATTCCGGTCAAGGGCACATGCCCGGGTTGCAGGCTCGATCCCTAGTAGGGGGCATGCATGAGGCAGCCAATCAATGATTTTCTCTCATCATTGATGTTTCTGTCTTTCCCTCTCTCTTCCTCTCTGAAATCAATAAAAAATATTTTTATAAAAAGAAAAGAAAAAAGGGTTGAGAAACACCTTTAGGTGAAAGTTCCAGTTGCTGAGAGGTTGCACTCCGGCCCCCATTGGAGCCCAGCAGAGATGTTTTATACTGAGAAACAAAAGGAGAGACCTTGGCTTTGTGCTCACACAGACCCAGCTTCACATTTCAACTCTCTCACCTGCTACCTTGTGACCTTGGGGAAGTCACATAGACTCTAGGTCTTCACTTCCATATCTGCAGAATGGGCTGATAACACCTACCTCATTGGGTTTTGGTGAGGAATAAATGGCTGGTATAGAGCAGCTGATACCATGCCTGGCATGTAACAGACACTCAGCATAAGTTAAATTGCCTTTTCTGAGTCCTCAGGCAAGTTACTTAACCTCTCTGTGCCTCACTTTCCTCATCTGTATAATGGGGATAATAATGGTTTGTCCTTCACAAAGCGGTTGTGCAGCTTAAATGAGTTGCCTACATTAAGCTATTTGATAGAGTGCCTGGCAGGAAGTGCTGTGTGTTAGCTGCTATTATCATCCACCCTTTCTTCTCTGATATACATGATACTTATATACTAGCAATCTGGAAGGAAATTATACGATACCTAATATTCTGCCCTCCTAATTTTAAATGAGCTAAACATCTCATTTCTTATGAGTATGGCTCCTCAGCCTTTAGGCCAGCGGTTCTCAACCTGTGGGTCGTGATCCCTTTGGCGGTCAATGACCCTATCACAGGGGTCGCCTAAGACCATCCTGCATATCAGATATTTACATTACGATTCATAACAGTGGCAACATTACAGTTATGAAGTAGCAACGAAAATAATTTTATGGTTGGGTCACAACATGAGGAACTGTATTTAAAGGGCCAGAAGGTTGAGAACCACTGCTTTAGGTACTTTGTGGGTCTGAGGGCTTCTGCCAGAATCATGGTTCATGGATAGGGCATGTAGCTTCCTTGGGATACAGCGGTGGCCTAAATGGAATGCCTACATGTTTTTATTGTTATGTTTCTTACAGAAAATGTGGGATCAAGAAAAGGACCACTTGAAAAAGTTCAATGAACTGATGGTTGCATTCAGGGTCCGGCCGACGATTCTGATGCCCTTTTGGAACGTGGTGGGGTTTGCGTTAGGTGCGTGTCTGTCCAGAAGAGCTTATGGGAGCTGAAAGGTCTGAGATGAACATATCCTTTAAGTGCCACTTCACAATTCTTGCTGTGTCCTTCTACGGCCTTTTTTTTTACTTAATATTTTTCTAAAGTTAAATTGGCTGACCTTTTTTTTTTTTTTTGCTTAAATTTATTTAAGATAGACTCTCAAAATCAGTAGTTTTGTAAATAAAAGGTACAGTAAAAATAGATACAACAGGAGGGGGGAAACAAAGCTAGACTAATTCAGTTGTAGCCAGATGTTTTCTGGCAAAGCTGCTCACTCTTAACAAGGGAGAAAAGTAAATGGTATAGGAGAATCAAAGACACACCCCAAATGACGACTTTCTCCTTGCTCTGGATCTGACAATTCCAGGCGCAGGAACCGCCCTGCTTGGGAGGGAAGGAGCGATGGCCTGCACTGTGGCCGTGGAAGAGTCCATAGCACATCACTACAACAACCAGATCAGGACATTGATGGAGGAGGATCCTGAAAAATATGAGGAGCTTCTTCAGGTATTTGACTACACTCTGAAAGGGGCTGATAAAGGGGGAAAGGGGCAGATATGCAGTTTGGTAAGAAGAAGAAAAAAATAGAATGTTAGAAAATGGTGGGACCTTAGAAATCTAGGTCAGCACCTCATTTTAAAGGCAAGCAAACTGAGGTACTGAGAGCTGAAGCCATGTGCCCTGGTCACATGCTTGGGCAGACGTCAGAATCCCATGTCTTTTGAGCCCGGACCTGTATTCTCCCCATTTCTGGATTATTGGTAGGTCCTGAGCAAATGCTGTTAGCACGAACCCTTCAGATTAAATAAATGAACTAAAAGATACCCTCAGATTTTAAAAAACAAATAACAATCAATTTTTTAAATCTTTAAAAAATAAATAAAATGAAAGGTACTCTCAGATAATTTTCCACGGCAGGTAAGGGAACAGATACAGGTCTGGCTTTTTAAATTTTTTTTTTTTTTATATTTTTATGGATTTTAGAGAGGAAGGGAAAGGGAGAGAGAGATAGAAACATCAGTGATGAGAGAGAACCATTTATCGGCTGCTTCCTGCATGCCCCCTACCGAGGATTGAGCCTGCAACCCAGGCATGTGCCCTTGACCGGAATCGAACCTGGGATCCTTCAGTCCACAGGCCAGTGCTCTATCCACTGAACCTAACCGGCTAGGACAGGCATGGCTTTTTTTAAAGCCTAAATCGGGTTGGTGAACTACGGCCTGTGACTGACCACCTGTTTCCCTAAATAAAGTTTTGTTGGAACACAGCTACACCCATTTGTTCACATGTCCATGGCCGCTGACCCCTCTACAATGGCAGAGTTGAGTAGATATGATAGGGACCAGACAAAGCTTCAAGTATTGCTTCTGTCTCTTTATAGAAAAAGTTTACCTACCCCTATCTTAGATAATAATATGAGTTTTCAGTCTCACCCGGAGAGTTGGAATGCTGACTTGCTTCTGTTTCTTTTTATTTAACCAGGTGATAAAGAGATTTAGGGATGAAGAGCTTGAGCACCATGACATAGGCCTGGAACATGATGCAGAACTGGTGAGGACCTGCCTTTACCGCTGCTTTGGTGCTTTGGTTACCTCATTTTGAAGGCTGTAGGGTGGGAAGGTTTCTGTTCCCCAAAAAATAGATTTCACAGTGACTGCCAAGGGAAGAAAACAGATACACTGCTTTGACAAAGAGCAAGCTCCCAGTTGGGAATCTCCTTGCCTCCTCCTTATCATTTTCCCTGGCAGCTGCTTTTCCCTTTCCAGTGAGAAACCAGATGACTCAGTGCTTTGGCAGTAGCAGAGGCATTCTAATCTTTTGAATAGTTCACCCCCCCAAATTAAAATGGATTATCTCTTAGATCTTATTTCTTTCCAGAGAAGTCTCAGTCCTGCCAGGCAGATTTCACAAGTAAAAGGGAACATAGCCCAACCGGCGTGGCTCAGTGGTTGAGCATCGACCTGTAAACCAGGAGGTCAGGGCACATGCCTGGGTTGCGGACTCAATCCCCAATGTGGGGCGTACAGGAGGCAGTTCCTCTCTGAAATCAATAAAAAATATATATATATATTTTTAAAAAGTGAACATAGAGAGTGCTTCTTTTGTTTGCTAATTGTCTTTAACAGGCTCCAGCATATGCCATTCTGAAGAAGGTTATCCAGGCTGGATGCAGTGCAGCGATATATTTATCAGAAAGATTCTAAGGTATGACCACTTTTCCCTGTCTATAAAAGATGATAGTAATTTAACAAGTGATATTGGTAGAAAGGAAATGTACAATATTGTTACTGAGCAAGAGCTTACTGTCCCACATGCATAGGAGCCAATACTGTGACGTCATCTTTTGAGACAAGAAAAGGCTTTAATTGTGAGGTCCACCAGCCATGAGACTGGAGGCGAGCTCAGATCTGTCTCCCTGGTGAGGGTTTTTGGGCTACAGTTAAAGGAAGGAGCAGGGGGATTTTTGCATATTTAGAGAGTTACATTGATTTAACATAGTAAGAGCCTAGGACGCAGGTGCTTGGGAATCACAGCTTTTGAATTGAATGTTTGAATTTGTGGGTAGGGGTTTGTAGTCCACAGTGGATTTTGACCCGGTGACTTTGAAAAGTTATTTTAGGGTAAATTTTTTCTCTAGCATGTTGTCCTACTATTCCAGTACCTGGTCTGCAGTCTTACTCTGCTAACTCTGAAAAACAACTGAGTATCTCATTAGGAACAGAACAAGGCCAGCTTATGCTAGTTTTGTGGTTATAATATTGTTATATGAGTTTTGTTAAACTGCAAGAGGTTTGTTTTTTAATAAAACTCTCCAGTGTTGATTTTTGTGTATGCTGTAAGGCTGACAGTGCACCAGGTGCATTCAAATTTCAGCAAACAAAGTTGGTCAGTGTTTGGTCCATAGCTAATTTTTTCCTAAAACATCAAGAATAAATTATTAAGAAAGTAATAGGAATCTAAAGGAAAAATTTGAGTTTACTGGTAACAAAAGGAAATTGAAAACACAAGGGTATTTAAGTTTGACACAAAGCAAGGCTGTGAAGTTCATCAGGTAAGTGGAAACTCATTGTTTCTATTTTGAATTGTGGATTGAAGGCGGGTTACTTCCACTGGAGAATATACTAAATTGTGAATTATTTGTGAATTTGCATTATAATAATTTTCTTTAGGGCTGTTACCAAAAAATGGACCAAAACAGACTAAACTTTTCATACTGTGTTGAAGTCTTATGTGATTTGCACATCTACACTAATAAAAGAGAAAAATGGTGCCAAAACCGGTTTGGCTCAGTGGATGGAGCGTCGGCCTGCGGACTGAAAGGTCCCAGGTTCGATTCCGGTCAAGGGCATGTACCTGGGTTGCGGGCACATCCCCAGTGGGAGATGTGCAGGAGGCAGCTGATCGATGTTTCTCTCTCATCGATGTTTCTAACTCTCTCTCTCCCTTCCTCTCTGTAAAAAATCAATAAAATATATTAAAAAAAAAAAAAAAAAAAAAAAAAAAATAAAAGAGAAAAATGGTAATTGGCGTACGACGCTACCCTTTTCTTTGGCTAATCAGGGTTATATGCAAATTAACTGCCAACAAGATGGCGGCTAATTTGCATATGTAGGCACAATGCAGGGAGGCGAAAGGGAAAGCAGGAAGAAGCCCCCTGCCACTGACAGTGATCGGAAACCCAGGGGGGAGCTAAGAGCTGGGGGGCAGGGCAAAGGCGGCCCTGGGGAATGATTGGAGAATCAGGTGCCTTTTCCACCCTGGCCAGTGATAGCAGGAAGTAGGGGTGGAGCCAGTGATGGGAGCGAAGCTGGCAGTCCCAGGAGCTAGGGGTCCCTTGCCTGGGCCTAAAGTGAAGCCCACGATCGCGGGGCCGCTGCAGCTGTGGGTCCCTGCTGCCCGGGCCGGACGCCTAGGCCAGAGGCGTTAGGCCTGGGCAGGGGCGGAGCCTGCAACTGCGGGGAGCTGGGGGTCCCCTGCCCAGGCCTGACACCTCTGCCGGAGGCCTCAGGCCTGGTCAAGGGGCCGATCCGGTGATTGGTGATTGGAGGGTGATGAGGGTCAACTCCTCTGGCCGAGGCATCAGGCCTGGGTGGGGGGTGGAGCCGGGGATTGGGGGGATATGAGGGTCCCCTTGCCCAGGCCTGAAGCCTGGGTCAGAGGCGTCAGGCTTGGGCGGGGGGTGGAGCAAGCGATCAGAGGGAGATGGGGGTCCCCTGCCCAGGCATGATTCCTGGGCCAGAGGCCTCAGGCCTGGGCGGGGGCCAGAGACAGTGATCGGGGGAAGATGGGGGTCCCCTGTCCAAGTCTGACACCTCTGTCAGAGGCATCAGGCCTGGGCAAGGGGCCGATCCTGCGATTGGAGGGTGATGGGGGTCAACGCCTGAGGGCTCCCAGTATGTGAGAGGGGGCAGGCTGGGCTGAGGGACACTCCCCCCACCCCCACACCCAGTGCACGAATTTCGTGCACCGGGCCCCTAGTCCTATATAATAAGGAGGTGATATGCAAATTGACCATCATTCCAACAGACAAGATGGCCACGTCCATGTGGACACAAGATGGCCAGCAGGGGAGGGCGGTTGGGGACGACCAGGCCAGCAGGGGAGGGCAGTTGGGGGTGACCAGGCCTGAAGGGGAGGGCAACGGGGGGGGGGGGGGGACTGGGCCTGCAGGGCAGGGTAGTTAGGAGTGACTGGGCCAGCAGGGGAGAGCAGTTTGGGGGGGGGACCAGGCCGGAAGGGGAGAGCAGTTAGGGGTGACCAGGCCGGAAGGGGAGGACAGCTAGGGGCATTCGGGCTGGCAGGGGAGCAGTTAGGCATCAATCAGGCTGGCAGGGGGAGTGGTTAGGGGGTAATCAGGCTGGCAGGCAGAAGTGGTTAGGGGCAATCAGGCAGGCACGCGGTTGGGAGCCAGCAGTCCTGGATTGTGAGAGGGATGTCTGACTGCCCGTTTAAAACAGGCAGTCGGACATCCCTCGAGGGGTCCCAGATTGGAGAGGGTGCAGGCTGGGCTGAGGGACACCCCCTGCCCCCGACATCCCGTGCATGAATTTTGTGCACCAGGCCTCTAGTTCTAAAATAATTTATGAAAAACCTAGATCAGTAATTCTCTCTGGCTGCACATTAGAATGTCCTGAGGAACTTTTTCCAGGTGGTAAACTAAAAATTCAGGATTAGAGTGGGGCCCAGGATCAGAATGGTTTCCAAAGCTCCTAGGTGACTCTAATGTGAGTCAGGACTGGGGACTTCTGGCCTACACTCTTAACACATTGCGTATCGCATAGAAATCTCTAAGACACATGCCAGGGACTGCACGTTTTTGGGCAAACTTCACGTTACTTAAATCATCATAATGCATTTTAGGTGTTGTTTTTCAATAATTATAACGTTTTTATTTACAAAAACAATTAAACAATTAAAGTTCCTAGTACTTTTTTAACATATGGTACTGCGTAAAACATTTTCCTCTATGAAGAGGGACCAAACAAAATTTATATAAGTACCTAGACTTGCTCCTTTTTCCATGGGTGTGAAAAACGAGAACACTCCTGAGCGGAACAAAATGTGTTAAGCTTCTTGTGGTGAAGAATTACAGCATTAAGGCTTTTGCCTTTCTGGGTTTAATCAGCACTGCCTGACGAGGCATGACTTGCCTCCAAGGGGTCCAGTTTTGAAGAATAGTGGGCACGGGGATGGTTTGGTTTAGTCAACTTCTCTTTTCCTAGAGCAAGAGTGAGTTTAATTTATGTGATAAATCAACCAGTCTTCTGATGATAATTGCAGTAAGTTAAACATGGGAGAGAAAGGTCAAAGACAATTTAGATCCCCAGCTCTTTAGTGCTAGGTTACAAACAGACACCTGCAGTGTAGTTTAGTGTAGTTGTTTAACAACTGAAAAGCCAAGTTTCTACACCAGCGGTTCTCAACCTGTGGGTCGCGACTCCTTTGGGGGTCGAACGACCCTTTCACAGGGGTCGCCTAAGACCATCGGAAAACACATATATAATTACATATTGTTTTTGTGATTAATCACTATGCTTTAATTATGTTCAGTTTGTAACAATGAAATCGGGGGTCACCACAACATGAGGAACTGTATTAAAGGGTCGCGGCATTAGGAAGGTTGAGAACCACTGATCAACACAGTGACTGCTTCATGCCTACATTGTTTTATAAATGCTCATTTTATGTCTCTCCTATATAAGACCAAGAGCTTCTTGAGGGCAAATAATCTTTCCCAGTCCCTAATACGTTGTAGGCGCCCATTTAAAGGAAGGAAGACAGGAAGGAATGAAGGAGAAGGAGAAAGGACAAGATGAGGGAAGGATCAAGATGTTATTAAGGCCTGGCCAGTGTTGCTCAATGATTGAGCTCAGTCAGGGCACATGCTCAGGTTGCAGGCAGCTATGGATCATTCTCTCTCATCATTGATGTTTCCATCTCCCTCTTCCTTCCTCTCTGAAATCAATAAAAATATGTAAAAAAAATATCTTAAGCAATTGCAAAACTGCTGTGAAAATGGCCTCCTAGGCTGTTCTCCCTCTCCTTTGGATCTCGCTGCTGGTGGTATTTGTTCTTTGATCTTTGAAATGTTGGTACTATTTATTGCCCTCATGTCAGAGCTAATTTTGTAAGTATTGCAGGCAGGAATCTTAGGCATATGAAGGCACTTTGCACAATCCTTATTAAAAGCCCAGATTTGTTGCTGTTTGTTTAGCATCCCCTTCAGAATTGATGCCTGATGTTTTATGCTTGAGAGCTTCCAAAACAAGACCAGAGAGATTTTATGGCTCTCCCTTTGGTTGTTTTTTATTTCATTACAGCTTGTCCTCGTGTATTAACGAGGTAATCTTGTCTTTCCCTTACTTTACTGCTCTGACCTTTCAGGGGAAATGTGATTTTAAAATTGGACATCATCCAAAGAATGCCAGCATGACAAAGGATGTTATTCTTGCAAGCAGTATTGTTCCAAAGACGTGATCTGAGCTATCATTCTTTGCATATGTGATTCCCTCTCAACTCTTAAGTGTGGTCCATGACCAACAGCAGTGCTATCAACTGTGAGCATGTTCAAAATGCAGAACTTTGGACTCCTCCCCAGACCTACTCAATCAGAATATGCATTTTAATAATATGCACTCCAAACCCAGTGGTGGTTTTAAAGTATGTCCACAAATTCCTCAATACTCCTCTGCTCAGCGGAACCCAATTCCCCTTGCCTTGAGATGGGTTGTCCTTAGTGACTTGTTTCTAGCAAAGAGAATATGGTGGAAATGATGAAGTTTGACTTCAGGGCTGGTAGGTCATAAAAGACACTGCAGCGTCTACTTTTCTCTCCAGGAGCACTCACTCTGGGGGAAACCAGAGGCCATGTGATGAGGACACTCAGGCAGTTACTCTGTGGAGAGGGCCACATGTCCAAGAACTGAGGCCCTCTGCCTTCAGCCATATTTGTGCAGTATCTTGGAAGTGAACCCATTAGCCCCAGTTAAGCCTTCAGATGACTGCAACCAATATCTTGACTGCAACCTCATGAAAGACCCAGAGCCAGAATCATCCAGTTAAGTCAGTTTTGAATTCCTGACTCAGCAATCATGTTAGATAATAAATGTTTGTTTTCAGCTGCAGAGTTCTGGGCTGATTTGCTAAAAAGCAATAGATAACCAATATGTAACATTTGCAGGTGATTTGGAAGCACAATAAAGTTTGAGAAGCACTGAACTAGACCATGAACTGGAAGGCAGAGACTGTCTTCATCCTTTCCGTATCTTCAGAATTTAGCACAGTGTCTGACACTCAGTAAATCTTTCTTAGACTAAATACAAAGTTAAATTGCCTCTTTTTTTAAAAAAATTGATTTTAGAGAGAAAGGGAGGGAGAAACATCAGTTTGTTGTTTCACTTATTTATGCATTCATCGGTTGCTTCTTTGTATGTGCCCTGACCAGAGATCGAACCCACAACCTTGGTGTATGGGGACGACATTCTAACCTGAGCTACTGGACCAGGGCTAAATTGCCCTGTTTTAAAAGATTAGAACTTTTTTTGTAATAAATAATGCATGTTTGCACATGGTAAAATACTCCGTATGTGCAGTGACAGGTAAATCTCCATGTAGATTGCTTGTTAGCAGGAAACTGACCACTTGCCTTACTTTGTAGTTAACTATTAGCAATCTGCCACAGAGGACAGCACATTTTTTTTCTTTTTTTTCCTTCCAGAAGCAATGCTTGCCTCAAAATCAAACGATGTAAACTACATATAACTAAAAAAGAAAGCACCCCTTCCAAACTTATTCCCTGGAAGTAACCACTATTGATAATTCATCGTGTGCCTTTCCAGACCAAAAAACCCAACATGACCTTTTATCCGTACATGTAGATGTTTGGGTTTGTATTGTACCTCAGATGGAGTGATGCTGTACATCTAGATCTGCAGTTTGCCTTTTTCATTCAGTGACCTACTTGGCCATCTTTCCAAGTCAGTATGTGTAGATCTACCTCATCCTTTTAATTGGCTGCAGTACTTTTCTTCCCTTTTACAGCTGAGCCACTGCGGCACCGTGCCAGCTCCTTACCTGCTCAGACTATGTACTATTTTAACTGCTTTACCCCTGAACTCTCAGGACCACCCTATGGGACACGCACTCTCCTGGTCCCCCTACTTACAGAGTCTGCTAGGTGCTGAAGAGCTTGCACTTAACTAGGAAGCTGTACGGCTTCTACCTGTTCCCTCTCTTACCCTATTGGTGGACCTGGTGGTTATTAAGAACAGACTTTGGGGACCTCTAATGCTTCAAGGAGACCACATTTGAACATAGCTTCTATGAAATTTCAGGAGGAGGGACCCCTCGGAGTTCTTAATCCTTTTGGAGATCCCATACCTCCTTGAGAATATGATAAAATCTCTGCCCCCCCCCCCCCCAGACTCCTAAAGGTCCTCCTTAAGACCCCAGGATCTGAGTGATTTGTGGAGAAGAAAACATGACCTTTTCCAACAGGAGTGGAACAAAAGAAACCTTTTTTCAAAACCACCTTTTTTGGCTCTGCCAGAGCACAAAGCACTTCTCTATTGAATATGTTTTCAAACGTTTAAAAGGCTCCTCTTGCCTTCGGGACTGCTTCCTTCCACTCTTGCCTCCTGAAATGGCAGCCCTGCAGGACTGTGACTGAACAGGAGGGGCCCTTTGATCCTGGTTCTAAGAAAGATCTGCTGCTGGGCACGCCAAGGGCAGGCAAGGTCTTCCCAGCGCCCGCCTGTGGCCACCAGAGGGCGCCCTTACCCCTGATTTCCGAGTCCAGCGCCCCTACCGGCTCTGTCACTTCCAGAATGTCATAGGGATAATCCCTGGAGAGCATAGATAAGCAGTTGCTACGCGAGGTGATATTCTGACCCCAGTAATCCCACCTCCTGATTTTTGCCATTAGATGAGAGTGGACTGTCACATTTGCACACTGCAAGATACGGAGGACTTGCTCAGCTGGCTATTCTACTCTGCTGGGCCACTAACTTGAGAGTCCTTTTCAGGGAGGAGGCTTTTCCTTTTCAGAAAAGGGAGAGAGGAAAACACAGGGGAGCTCGGTTAGTCTGTGTCTGGAGGGTACCACATGTGGAGAAACCCGCATTAAGCACCAAGTAGTGTCCAAGGGGCCGCACTGAATGCGTATTCATTAGTTGGCACTGCTCCCTGGACCTTGCTCACCCCCACCTTCCTGCAATCTGCATGCTCTGCCCTTCTATTGATTAAGGCTGTTTGCCCTTTCAAACCCCCTATCTCTTAGGTGAAATCCTCCCATACCCTCGTTCCCATCCCTGCATATTCTAGCTTCCTGCGTTGGTATTGCATTCTATAACTGTATGGTTGTTACCCGCTTTCCTACCATTTCTCCAGCCTGGCAGCGAGCTTCTCAAAGGCAGGGGCTATTGCCAGTTCCTGGAGCTTAGCAGGCCCTCAGCCAACATTTGATAAACGAATCTAAGCTAAAAACAAACCACGTGGGCTCATGGAATGGAACAAAACGAATTGAAACAAGTAATGACAATCACCTGATCTCAAAACGAGCTCACCTAGAAACTTCTAGGTCAGAGTATGCTGGGGGGAAGGAGGCTCAGACTTGTGGGTGCCCTTCAGTCCTCTTGTCCATCTGCACTCCAAACCCAGCGGAAGCCTGACAAACATTTCACCCGCCACTATGTCTCAACTCCTTCCTCAGAATGCTTTTTATTTATAGCTGTTGTGTGTGTTTTTTGAGAATTTCTCTTCATGATACTTTTTGTCCCTTTTTAAAAACTCTCAATTATATTTCCAGTTACACAGAATTTCCTAATGTTTAATTTTGGAATTCTTAATTCGGCGTGCACATCAAATTAAACTCTTGAGATAAAAAATACTGACTGATGCTCCTGCTTCCCCCAGTCCTACTGAAGCAGGTACTGCAGAGCTGGCCTAGGGGATGGATATAGTTTAAAAGCTCACACAAGGATTTGATATGCACCCTGGTTAAGAATCAGTGGTTTTATTCCACAAGGGCTTTATTTTAAATCTACCCCCAAATTGATGCTTTTCCCTGAGGGTGATTCAAGATTTGTCCCACTTTTCCACTAAGATGTGACTTGCTGTTCCAATTTTCTCCAGTCCACTTGGTGCCGTGACAGCTGGAAATATGTTCCAGAGCACGTTGTCTTCAGCAGGTGGAAACAATGGTGACAGCAATGCTTCCATTCCACAGGGGGTTTGGAGGGGCGCCTTTGTGTGGTATTTTCCATGCCTAACTTCCAAGTGGCTTTATTGAAACAATAAATTGCATGGAGATGCCACCTGTTGCACTCACTTGCTGATGCTCTTTGTATGTGTTTAAATAAGACAGCATGGTCATTAAAAGATTAATTATCTCAGTTGTTTATTTGACTGCTTCAAGGGCCCATATTCTAAGTGCTGTATAAGAAAAGAATTTTAGAACATGAAATTCTCTCATATCATTTAGAAGAGTCAAAACATCTCACAGTTCTTCTAATAAGAAGAATGAAAAATTCAGAGGTCATTTTTTTCAGGTATTGCTTGACCCAGGAGCTCGAACCAAACACTTGGCTTCTCTTTCTCTCTCCTATTTCTGCTTTTCATAGTGTTGAAATTGGGCTCACCATGGCTCCCAGTGGCCCGCCTCATATATGGCAGCAGAATTGCTGCAGCACTTCCCTCCATCACCTCTTAATACTCCTCCAGCCACATAAAGAGGATCTCTTCCTCTAGTTCAGCGGTTCTCAACCTGTGGGTCGCGACCCCAGTGGCGGTCGAATGACCCTTTCACAGGGGTCGCCTAAGACCATCCTGCATATCAGATATTTACATGACAATTCATAACAGTAGCAACATTACAGTTATGAAGTAGCAACGAAAATAATTTTATGGTTGGGTCACAACATGAGGAACTGTATTTAAAGGGCCAGAAGGTTGAGAACCACTGCTCTAGCTTCTACAGAAGCGAGAGAAAACTTTGGTTTCCCAGAACCCACAACGATGCCCCTCCCCCACTCCATCTCATTTTTCTCCAATTAGGTCACATTTCTCTCCCTGGACCAATTACTGTGGCTGGGGAATTGCCTGGCGGAGTGGGAACAACTCCACTCAAGCCACATGGCCTCGAGCTGGGTAGGGATGGTTCCCACAAAGGAAGCCAGAGTTCCCTCACCAGGAGAAGGGAGAAGGTAAAAAGGCTTGATGTCCCCTGAGCCCAGGAAGTCGTGTTGGAGACAGAACTTGAGTGGGTATAAATGGGGCAGTAGGTTCAGGATGGACTGGGTCAGGGAGGATGCAATTAGGGGGGACATTATTATAGTGCTCCCCTTGATGGTGGGTGAGGACTCTATTGTAACAGAGAGGCAGCGTAGCATAATGATCTGAAACACCTGGGTGTGAATTCTTGCTCTTCCTCTTATCAGGTGTTACCTAACCTTTCAGTGCCTTAATTTACCCACTTGTAAAATGGGTGCACCTGGGTTGTCATGGATGAACCTGAAAAAGTATGCTAAGTGGTAGAAGCCAGTCACAAAGGACCACGTATTGTATGATTCCACTTACATGAAATGTCCAGAAGAGGTAAATCCATAGAGACAGAAAGTAGTTTAGTGGTTACCTAGGGCTGGGAGGGAAAGGGGGTGTTGGAGGGTGATAGCTAAGGAGTTCAGGGTTTCTTTTCAGGATAATGTTCTAAATTTGACTGTGGTGATGGTTACAGATCACTGTGCATATACTAAAAGCCATTGAAGTGTACACCTTAAATTAGTGACTTGTCTGGTGTGTGAGTTACCCTATATAATAAAGAGCTAATATGCAAGTGGTTGTCACACCATTGCGCCATAACAGCTCAGACACTCAACACTGGGGAGAGAGGAATGGGGACCAGCCAGGCACAAATGAGCTCGTGAGAGAGGAATGGGGACCATCCAGTCTGCTACCCTGGAGAGGGACAAGCTGCCCGCCCTGCCGTCCCAGGCACCTGCGGCTGCGCCTAGGCGAAGCCGCCCACCCACAGTCCTCTGTGGCTGCAGCCAGCCTGGGTCCTGGGTGCCTGTGGCCGGCTAGAGGAGGGGAAACCCAGGTCCTGGGTGCCTGTGACCAGCTGGAAAAGGGAATCCTGTGTCCTGGGTGCGGGGCAAGTGAGAGGTGGTTAGGGGAGATCAGGCTGGTAGGGGAGCAGTTAGGGGCAATCAGGCAGGCAGACA